GTCGCCCTTTGAAGGTTAGGCCAGCCTACTCGACTTAATGAGTCCTGGGCCAACCAGGGCTGCACAGCAAGAGAGATAGGTATCTGTGGGTAGACAGATGAAAGGCGGAGTGAGTGAATGGTACATGGCTGTTAGATGGAGACATGGGTAGGTGGGTGGGTAGATAGGTGAATCGGCCACAGAGATTGTCAGGCTGGTGGCAGGCAACATTGTAAGTAGAAACGCAGTTTTTCCATCCTGCTCTGCTCACATCCTTGCTCCATCCAAGGATATCTGACCAGATGGAGCCACCTGGTTTCCCAGCCTGCAGTGTGGGCACGTGTCCAAGCAGGGCTATTAGGAGATAGGAGCAAGACACTGGCCAAGGTCCCCAGCACATAGCCTCATGCATATGTGGTTTTTAAAAAAAAGTGCATTGAGTGACTCTTCACCAGGCGTTAAGTCCAGCTGACAAGCGTGTTGTGGAATCAATGCCCAGAAAGACAGGTCTTTGCGCACATTGAGCGCAGGGCAAGTGCTGAGCAGCTGTGCAGGTGGCTCTGTAGGATGAGATGTTCGAGTGTGTCCAGGGCACCTCCGCTGTGTCCTGGGAGATGGGCATAGGACTGAGGCATAAAGTCCTCTCTACAAGCATCGCCCTGGCACCTGGGCACAGTAAGTCCAGTCAGTTCAGTTCCATGGTGGCGGCTGTGAAAGTGGATACAAAGTAGGGTTGGTTTTCGGCTTGTCGATGAAGGTGGTTTGTTTTGTTTTTTGTGCATGTGAGCATGTGCACATGCTCATATGGGGTTCTGTGTACATGGCACATGTGGAGGCCAGAGGCTGCTGACATGTCTTCCTCTGTCACTGTCCACCCTGTTTTGAAAGACTGTCTCTCGCTGAAACTGGGGCTTGCTGGTTCAGCTAGGCTGCCTGGTGAGGGATCCGCTGTCTCTACCTCCCCAGAACTGCAGCACTTAGCCTTTAGCTGTTTGCTGTGAGGCTTCTTTCTTAGTTAGTTTTATTGTGGTTATTAGTTGCTCTGAGTGTCACGCTGTGCATATGGCAGCAGAGAACAGTCCTCAAGTACCAGGTCTCTTCTTCCCTGTGTGGGTCTGGGGACCGCACGCAGGTCATCAGGTGGCAGGTGTGCTCACCTGCCAGGCCATCTCGGTGGGCCCTCACACGTTGGCATGAGGTCTTCCTACTTCCATGGCAGACGCAGCACCAGCTGAGCCATCTCCCAGCCCTATTTCATTTTGTGTTTTTTAAAACAGAGTCTCATTTAGCCCCTGAAGGCCTAAAATTGAAGAGTCCCCTGTGCCAGCCTCTGGAGCACTGGAATTGCAGGTGCTCGCTAGCACACTCAGCCTCCGGAGAAGAGGCCTCACACTCTGCCCACAGCACCCCCGAAGCAGCACGTGCCCTCTGAATGGCTCCCCAAACATCCTACCATCCAAGGGACTCCAGGCCTCATTCAGATCCCCCCACCACATCTCTTTGAACCCTTCATGCTCCTCCTAAGTTGCTTTTGAACCTGCACCTCCATCCCACCTTCCACAGCTCTCACAGGAACGCAGCAGCACCATGCAGCCAAAGAGGCTTTCAGTTCAGCCCCCAGCACTGACTAAGGCAGGGGTGTTGGACATGCCTGTAATCGCAGATAAGTAGTAAGTTCAAGGCCAGCATGGGATGCATGAGACATTTTTTTTTTAACAAGAATAAGAAATAAAAGCAGTATAACCTGAGACTACAATACATTAGTGCATGCCGTGTCTCTATGAATAAGCCCCTCCACCAAGTACATTTAGACGCTAGCCAGCCTCAGCAACTTGGAACAGTGTGTGACATCTGCAATAGGGCTTCCCCTTTGTCTATCCTGGGGAATGCACAGGGACACCCCTCATGCACGCTAGGTGCACACCTGTTAGGTTTTGCTGGCCTTGCATAACCAGCATGCATGCAAGAGGCTGTTGAGCACACAACTGGGAGAAGGACTAGCAGCTGCTGGGTAAGATCTGCCTCCTAGACAGCAGCCAGCCCTGTGCTGTGTGTTACGCCAGCAGCCATGGTTTTGACCTTGCTGTGGGTTAAAGGACACAAACTTAGCAGAGATCTGTTTATCATGCTCGGGACGCATGCTGTTCTTGACAGTAGTCAGTGAATAAGATGGATGATCTGCCAAATGGGCCCCCTCGCATGGGTGAATCAGGGTGAATTTACAGTACAATTCTTTTGCTGCTTCCGACACACAAACAACATTTGCTGGGTTTTAGACCCTGCTGCCTGGTGACCCAGAGGTGAGTGGAAAGAAGAAATCTGATTTACAGAATTCATACTGCCTTAAAGATAGATACAGGTCATTTCTGCCCCCATACCCATCTTTTTTACATGTCTCACAAAGCAATTCAGTTGTTTTCTTAACCTGATTTTTCCAGGCTTTATGAGATATGAGCTTTATGAGATAGTGGGACTTTTTACCAATTGAGGACATTACACAGGCTTATTGGATTCAACTGTGGTTCCATTTCAGGTCTCGTTCTTTCTAGGCGCTCATTCAAATACCCGTGTTTTTAATCCATGTCCTGGATACAGGAGAGGTTGTTAGCGCAGACATCTGACAGATATTCTAGGAGGCTCTGGAGATAGCTTAGTGGTCAACGCACTGGCCAATAACTGCGAGGACCTGACCTGAGACCCCCAGCACCCACATAAAAGCTGGGTGTCACTGTGCGCCTCCTACCCCCTGCTCCGGGAGGGTCGCCGGAGGCCAGGTAACATGACAGACCTTAGTTCAAGGCAAGAAGGTAAGGGATGATAGAGCAGGACACCCGACATCCCCTCTAGAAGCTGCAGGAGCGTGTCTGCGTGCACATACGCACCACACGTTCTAAATAAACATTCCTATGTCTATGCCATAAGCTGGACGTAAAGTCTTCCTTGGTACTTTTACTCCACCAGTAGTGTTGTTTGTTTACTTGTCTGGTTATCTGCTGGTCTGGCTTTCGCCTAGCCACCACACATTCAGCAGGTGCCCTGCCACTCACGGTACCACACCGTCAGCCAGTGCCACAGTATTTTGGGCTACCTGCAGCTGTGCTGACAGTGTGACTGGGGGACTTGTTACAGCTTAGGGAGCAGCAAACGAGACACAGAAGGCTCTGCCCTTGTACCCTAGCCAACATTACCAGCTGGCCGACTGTTAGCCACAGGAGAAGATAGTCTCATTTTATACAAACGAGAGCGTTAGGTGGAATGTAGACCTTCATAGGGAGAAAAGCGCACTGTCGTGCAGTTGTCGTCACGCAGACGGCAATGTGAGCACAACTTGCCTGGCCCTCACATGTGGCCCCATGGTCTACGGCCCAGTGGCTTCAGTAAAAGAGAGGGAAGAGGTATGCCAAACACAGATTAGCCCAGGGACAGATTGGTGGAAAGGAGTCATTCACCCTTGCTTCTCGATGTTCTGTGTCGTTGGAAATGAGGGTATGACCAGTCTTCATTCAAGTAACCCCAAACCATCCTCAAGGCAGTGTGCCAGGCTTCACAGGTGATGCTAAGGGGGGAGGGGTTGTTGCTCACTGTGTTAGTTTTCTTGTTGCTTTGACAAGAAGCCTGCGAGAAGCAACTTAAGGAATGTTTTTTCTGGCTCGCAGTTGGAGAGGGTACCTCCCATCATAGCGGGATGCATGATGACAGGAACATGAGGCGGCTGCTCACATGGCACCACCGTCAGGAAGAGAGAGAGGTGGAGGCTCACGCTCAGCTCGCTTCCTCCTTGTCACGCAGGCAGGGACTGCAGCCTGTGGAGCGGGTCTTCCCATGGCAGTTACTTGGCCTAGAAACGCCCCCACTGGCATGCCCGAGGCTGGCCCCTTCAGTGCTTCTGCATCCTCTCACACTGGCCATATTCACCGTCACCTCAGCTACTGAGCAGGTGTACACTTCCCCGGCCACCTTCAGTGACACCCCCCCCAACAAGGCACAGGCTGTTGTAAGCAAGGAACATTCGGTGCCTGATGGTCTCCGGTCGGGTACCATTCACAGTATGGTCTAGATGAGCAGAGAGCCTGGGCTCCTAACAAGCAGGACCTGACCTTGGGTTGGTGCAAAGCAGACACGCCACCTTGCTGTGGTGCCTTTCCTCCTGTCGTCTCAGCACCCCTGGTAGTCTTACCAAAAAGCAACCTGACCACAAGACTTGTGTCTCCCTGGACCACCAGAGAGACCGACAGCTGAGGGTTAGGGCCCAAGAGTCTCTGCAGCCATGTGACCATCTACTCATAGCGCCCTCAGCCTAAAATGACCTGCTCACACTTGCGTGTGCAGGCCAGAGGACACATTCGGTCCTCACTCCACAGCTGCCACCCACAGTCTCTCACTAGTCTGGAGCTTGCTGGGTACACCAGGATGACTGGCCACAGAGCCCCAGAGGTCAGCCTGTCTCTGCCTCCCAGTGCTGGGATGACAAACATGCACTATGATGGCCGGCCTGTTTACGTGGTTTCCAAGGTTAGAACTCAGATCCCTGTGCTTACAAGGCAAACACTTCCCTACTGAGCTACCTCTCCACCTCCTGTCCATATTTTTGCTCTAGAAAATACAGAAGAAATAATCACATATATTAGAATCAACCCCCAGTCCCTCTGAATAACCAGAATCATAGGGTTTGATTAGAACAAATCATAGCAGTCATAATGACGGGCTTTTTTGGGTTTTTGTTTGTTTGTTTGTTTTAGCAAAAATGCCAATATTAAGCCTTCAGAAACCCTTTATTTGAACCTTTAGTTGATTTTTTTGTCTTCGTTGGTGTTATTTTTGTTCCTTTAATGCAGAAAATTAGAGGTTACACTTAATTAAAAAACTAAGAAATAACACAGACAGTCCTGAGGACTACCACACAGCACCCTTATGGATTGGGGGTGGGGGTGGGGGTTAATTATTTCCTAAGGAAGCAAACTCAGTGTACATGGTGAAAGATGACAATTTTCAGTGGCCGTTCTTGCTGTGTTTAATTCCAGAAAGCACTCCAAAGACCTCTGCCAGCTGCAGCCCTGCCCCTGAGTCCCCAATGAGTTCCAGCGAATCTGTGAAGAGTCTCACCGAGCTGGTCCAGCAGCCCTGTCCCACTATTGAGACCAGTAAAGAAGGCAAACCGCCAGAATCCAGCGACCCACCCGCCTCAGACTCCCAACCCACAACACCGCTGCCTCTCTCTGGACACTCAGCCCTCAGCATCCAAGAATTAGTAGCCATGTCTCCTGAGCTGGACACCTACGGCATAACCAAGAGGGTCAAAGAGGTGCTGACGGACAACAATCTCGGTAGGTGCCCATTGCCAGGTCGTCAGACACCCAGTACTGTTTGTAGCCTTGAAAGGTTGGGGGCTGCAGGCTGAGCCAGCCAAAGGCTCTAAATTTCCATGCATCAGAGTTTTTTTTTTATATTGCCACACAAAGTAGCTGTACACCAATTCATAAAAGATTAAAAACAGAAATCTCATGTTTTAAGCTTGATTTTGTACTGAGTACATAGATATAACCTTCCTGAGTTACAAGGTTGGACATGCCCAAACATAACAGTATACTCTAAAGAACCTGGTCCTGTGGGCATGGCTCAGAGCCAGAGCCCCTGCCTAGAGCCCCCCAGTGAGGGGCTGGGGTGTGTGGCTCAGAGCCAGAGCCCCTGCCTAGAATCCCCCAGTGAGGGGCTGGGGTGTGGCTCAGGGGTCACCTGCCTAGAATCCCCCAGTGAGGGGCTGGGGTGTGGTTCAGTGGTGGAGCCCCTGCCTAGAATCCCCCAGTGAGGGGCTGGGTGTGGCTCAGTGGTAGAGCCCCTGCCTAGAGTCCCCCAGTGAGGGGCTGGGGTGTGGCTCAGTGGTAGAGCTCCTGCCTAGAGTCCCCCAGTGAAGAGCTGGGGTGTGGCTCAGTGGTGGAGCCCCTAGAATACTTGAGACACTGGGTTCCAACCTCAGCACAAAAAGAAACAAAACATGAACTCTGTTAGTGTGAGGACTAGCCTCCTCCCTGGAGTACAGGAGTCAATCCCAGCTCCCCCCCAGCCCTGAGAAGACAGCCTGCAAACCAGAGCAGATGCGGCAGCCCACAGAGGCCTCCTCAATTAGAGCATGCCCAGTAGAACCCAAGTTCGGGGTGGATATGAGAACAGATCAGCTGAATCCTGCATTATCAGGTCACTTTATAGATATCAAAAACAAGGTCCACTCCCATGTTCCCTCACTGTGCCTGCTGTGGGCAAAGCATGCTGTGTGAGCCAGCCCCTCAGTGATACTGTCTCGATCTTGCCTATCACATCTGGTAACTCTCAGTTGCTCCAAGGCCCCTGCCTGGGAGCTTGAAGCCATCTAATGCTGCTGTTACCTCTGCTGCTTTGCAGTACTGGGCTGGCCATCCTCTCATGGTGTCAAGCCCAGGCCATATGCCATGTACCTGCTGCAGCTAACCGGGGCTCTGCCTGAAGTGGTCTAGGAGGTTCTCTGTGGCTTCTGGGTGGGAGCTGCTGTGGCCCTGCAAATATTTTTATGCCACCATGCTTCCTCAGGGTTGGTTAGTCAAGCCCTCCTGGGCCGGCACGGTAAGAAAAAGTGTGACTTCTTTGCAGGTCATGTGCCCCCATGAGTCCCAGGTAAAACATCAACGAGAGCAGCACCTTCAGGAAGGCCCTGCATGCCTTACCTTTGCCAGGGAAGAACAAGACAAGAAGAGCATTGCTGTTGAGGCTGGAGAGAGAGCTCGGTCTGTAAAGTGTCATGCAGTACTGAGTTTGTTCCCTAAAATCTGTGTTAAAAAAAAGTGTTAAGCTGGCTTGTTTGTAATCCTGTGGAGCAGGCAAGGACAGTAGGATTCTTGGGGCTAGCCAGCCAGCCTAGCTGAAGTACAGGCCAGTGAAAGAACTGTGTTAAAAATACAGGGTGAGAGCCAGAAAAATAGCTCAGTGGATAAAGGCACTTGCTGTCAAACCTGCTGCCCTAAGTTCAATTCTTGAAACCCACATAGTGGAAAGAGAAAACCTGCTCCTACAGGTTTTCCTCTGGCACACACTCGAAAGTTGCTGCTGTGTGTCAGTGGAGTCTGCCAGTGACATACAGTCTGGAGTCAAGCCCAGCCGTCATCTTGAGTCCCCACATCCCGTTTGTGCAATGTATTGTCCAAAACAGAACACAGGAGAAGGAACATCTACTGAGAACAATTGTAATCGTTCATTCATAAAAAGATGAAAATATAGCTGCTGATTTGAGAACAGCCCCAAGCCCATATGTTCATCGGTTATTGAAATGTGGAAGGATTCCTACACTTGAGTCACCCCCCTTCTTCACAGACTTGTCACGAGTCCAAGGAAGCAGTCCTATCGCTGTTGCTACCCATCCCCAGATAGAAAGCACCCTTCCATGTAAATGTTGAGAATACGAGAAGAAACCCCTTTTCAAACTGCCAAGTTGTAAGATCACAGTTTGTAAGTGACAAACACTGGAGCCTCCTCCTGGGCATCACTAGCGAGGCTCCATCCTTACTGGAGAGTTAGTTGGCATGGCTTACATTCGGTGAGAGCCCTCCCCTGCTGTCCTGCAGAACTTTCCAGTTTCCGACCTGAAAGACTTCCGGGAAAGCCTGTAGCCCATCGCAATCAGAAGCAATTTCCTTGCTGGCTCTAACTGTTCTTAAGATTTGTAGGGAGTTGCCTGCCTTCCCACAGGGTCCTTGATACAGTGGTGGGCACAGACTGGCCAGCTTCAAGCTGTAGCACACAGCAGAGATGTTCCCTGCCCGGTCAAGTTTCAGATGTACTCCCAGCTTCACCTTGTATCCTGGCACATTCAAACACTGTACCACTGAGCCGTACTCCCAGCTCCTCAGTGTGGGATTCTAGGCAAATGCTCTACCCCTGAGCTATACCTTCGATCTAGTATATTCAAGCTTAAAACAAACATTCAAAAACACCTAAACTAAACTTGGCTACATGCTCAACCACATTTATAGTCTATACTGGCACCTCATTGTCTCTGGACTCTCCCTGTAGTGTTTTCAGTTCAGAGACAAGGACATTCCCACAGATAGCATAAGCCAGCCACCATGGTCTCTAGCTGCAGTGTAGAGTTGGCGCATTCTTCCCAGCATCCTCTGTCCCAGGTGCTGTGTTAGATAAATAGTGGCCTTTCTGATTCCACTCTCCATTTCCACCCATTAGCTTCTGTTCATTCAAGCTTCTCTGTCAGTCCATGTGGGTCATAATAGATTCTGCTGTGTAGCGCTCTCCCCTCACAAAGGAAAGGCTTTCATGAGGAAGCAAACTTTGAATGCGTGTGTATATGTGTGTGCACGTACACATGGAGATCAGAAGTCATATGGATTGTTTTCCTCAAACTCTTTTTCCCTTACTTTCGGGACAGGACCTTTCAGTGAACCTAGAGTCTGTTAGGCCTAGATGGGCTGGCCACCAAGCTGTAGGGATTGGCCTGCCTCTGCTCCCCAGCACAGGGATTACAGGCACACACCACTGTGCCCAGCTTTTTATACAGGTTCTAACTCAGGTCTTCACGCTTGCGCATAAGAGCTTTAATGATGAGCTATCTCTTCAAGCCCTTCTCTCTGCCTCTCTCTCTGTCTCTGGGTCTCTGTCTCTCTCTCTCTCTCTCTGGGTTTTTTGAGACCAGAAAAACCACAGGGCTTCCCTGTGTGGCCTTGGCTGGACTCACTTTGTAGACTAGGCTGGCCTTGAACTCACAGCAGTCCACCTGCCTCTGCTTCTCAGAGTGCTGGGATTACAGGCATGTGTCACCGCACCTGGCTCAAGTCCTCCTTTTAAGCCTGTGACACACAGTGCAGGCTTGGATGCCCTCATGCCCTCTACTGCACCTGCCCACGATGCATGGGAGAGGAGAGAAGTCCAGGGAAGATTTGATCCTCTCTGAGCCACATTCAGCAAAAGCGGCTTAGGCTGGAGAAGCCAATGAGCCTTTCAGGTCAGAGACTTCCAGACCTCTCCCTCCTGCCCAGGGGTCAACTGCCTGTTCTTTCAGCACTGCCCTCGACTTTGCAGATCACCAGAAGACGCCCACTTGGTCTCTAGTTAGAAGCTGCCTGAGAGTTCAGCAGCTGCCGCTCCATGTCTGGGCCTGTGTTTCAGGGATCTCACAGATACCAATAGATACTGCAGGGGTCCGCCCTCAGTTCACCTGGCTCCTGGAAGCTTTTCTTTTTTTAATTTTCTTTTTCCTGAAGCTGTTGGTATGTAGTTTAAGCTAACCTGGAACTCCCTGTGTAGTCCAGGCTAGCCTAAAACTGCTGATCCTCTGCCTCAGGCACCCAATTGCTAGACTTTCCAAGAGTGTATCACTCTACCTACTACCTAGAGGCTTTTCTGAAAACCTAGTTATATGTCACACACATGCAGAGTGCAAGTATATTCTGATTGCCTTGCCGGTGAAGCTGTTAGAAGACAAGTGGAAGAAGTGATTCACTCCTGAAACTGGAGCACCAGGGTGGAGTGTCGACCTAGAGTCAGCAGCAAGAGGCAGGGGCCATGCTCAGTAATGGCCCACTCCTCTCACATGCACAAAGCCCCAGGGTCTCTCTCCAGCCCTGTGAAAACAAGTGTTGTATAGCCCAGGCCTCTGCAGTCCAGACAATGGGCCACTGAGCCGGCTCTTGTCACCTGCCTGACCCGTGTCTGTGAGTGACCATTTCTCATATCTGCTTTCCAGGTCAGCGCTTATTTGGGGAGACCATCCTGGGGCTCACCCAGGGCTCTGTCTCTGACCTCCTTGCCCGCCCAAAACCCTGGCACAAGCTCAGTCTAAAGGGACGGGAGCCCTTTGTCCGCATGCAGCTGTGGCTGAACGACCCCAACAATGTGGAGAAGCTGATGGACATGAAGCGGCTGGAGAAGAAAGGTACCTGCTCACTTCTGCCACTCGGGCCCCACCCGGCACACACATGCCCTTTCCGGGAACCTTCCAAGAGCTGGGGGAGGCGGGTCACTGATCCCTCCCTTGGGCTCTACAAGACAGGGCCCTGTAATTTAGAGTATCAGCCAGTGAGGAGCTAAGAGGACAAGGAAGACTTACCCATCCTGGGGGCCAAGGTCTGTAAATAAAGACCTATGACCCTCGGTGCACCCTGGTCTGTGGTAATGGCTCGTTTGCTCTTAGCTCGTTTATTACGTCATCTGCTGTGTGTGTGGATGTGCTCACGATAAAGGCCTTTGAAGATGGTGGTGAGCACCTCAAGAAATGTGTGCTGAAGGGCAGGGATTGTAACTACTTTGTAGAATGCTTGCTTGGCACACATGAGGACCTGTGTTAAACCCCCAGGACTAGGGGAAATAAAAGAAAGAAATGTGGGCTGGAGAGATGGCTCAGAGGTTAAGAACACCAGCTGTTCTTCCAAAGGTCCTGAGTTCAATTCCCAGCAACCACATGGTGGCTCATAACCATCTACAGTGAGAACTGGCACCCTCTGCTGGCCTGCAGGCACACACGCAGGCAGAACCCTGTACATGTAATAAATTAAAGTATAGCTTTTTAAAAAAAAGGAAATGTATTTTGAACCAGACATAATAGTGTACTCGTGTAAAGGAAAGCCCTGGCTTCCATCCCGAACCCTGGGGGGCAGGGAGCAGAGCTGTGATTGTTGGCACCATTTTGCCAAAGGTCTGCCACACTAGGACCTCAGGGTGCCCCTGCCTGTTAGTAGTATGCCTACACAGTGGCTCTCCACCCATGGGGGCCACCTCAACTGGCCATGGCCCATCCTAAGGCATGACCCATAGCCTCCAGGGCAGCTCCAGGCAGCACCACATACTTGAAAAGCCTAGTGACTTCCCACGTGTTAAATTATGTTAAAATTCAAGCAGAAATACAAAGAATGATCTGAAGAACCTAATAGAGAAACCACGGGTAGGGCATGGGCCTTTAAAGCTGTCACTTGGGCGGCTGAGGCAGGGGGATAAGCGGTAACTCAGCTGCTCTTGGTGTGCACACAGCCCTGGATTCCACCCCCACATCACTGAACCCAAGGAGGTACAAGGATCAGGAATTCAAGGTCATCTTTGGCTACCTAGGAAGCCTGAAGAGATCTCAGAGAGGAAAGAAGGGTACAAGGCCTGCCTGAGCTCCATACAGATTGAGTAGAGCAGACCGAGCAACTTTAGTAAGGCCCTAGCTCAAAGATAAGACAAGCAAAAGAAGCTAGTAAACACTGCTGCTGAGTTCCAGCAGTTTCCAAGCCTACCAAGATAATATTAAAGTGTCCACGCCCTGTCAAAGCCAAGACCAGCCACCTCCAAAGCATTTCCCTGTCCCTTCAGGTGTCCCCAGAGAGCTTTGTTCATCTGCCTCTTCCCTGTCCCAGATTAGCTGCTGCAAACTTTCCAGACCTCTTCCTTCCTTCCACATGGGCTCTGGTGCCATCTTGTGTCACAAAAGTGTTACTGTCTCAGTGGAGCCCACACTTTGGGACATCCAGTGTTCCCAGAATGGCTCTGAGCCATTCCTTAGGCTACTAGCGAGGGAGGCTTGCACTCGCCTTCTCAGGCAGCTGGGCACCTGACCTGGCAACAACACAGCAGGTGCCACACCTGCTGCGGTAGCTATCACCCCTGAGCATGTAGAGCAGTGGCTGTCAACCTGCCTAGTGCTGCAGCCCTTCGGTACAGCTCCTCATGTTGTGCTGACACCCGGCCATAACAGTATTTTCACTGCTACTTCATAGCTGTAATGTTGCTACTGTTATGAACTGTAATGTAAACATGTGTGGTTTTCATGGTCTTAGGTGACCCCTAAAAAATGACAGGCATGTACCTGTAATTCCAGCACAGAGGAGGTGGAAAGACAGGTGGATCCCAGAGCCTCCCTGGCAAACCATCTAACCTATTAGATGAGTGCCTGAGTAGTGAGAGACCCTGCCTCAAAAACAAAAGAAAGGGAGGGCTGAAGAAGCGGCTCAGCACGTGAGAGCCCCTGCTGCTCTTGAAAAGGACCCTGCTCAGTTCCCAGCACACTCGTGACTTAGGCCTGGAACCCAAGACCCTTAGAGTCTGACGTGTCTGCACTGCCTGCGCGTCCTTGCCTGCCTCACACACATCACAAACACAAAAACAAACGAAAAAGGCAGGAACAGTACTAGAGATTCTTCTCTGGGGGTCCCACAGACAGGAATACCTGCATTACGTACACACACACACACACACACACACACACACACACACGGGGTGGGGTGGGAGGGAGGAAAAGTAATGATTGGTGTGACTAATGCCTTGCTAAAGCAATCTCAGTGATTTATGGCTCCAGGCACTGTTGGCCATAACAGATGCACACAGCAGAGAGGCCACACAGTGTCCCAGAACCTCCATTCCCACAGTGCCCCTCACCCATACACCTGTCCATTCAGTGCACAGTAAGCAAGATCTCATCCTCATGACCCCTCCCCACCCTGCCTCCATAAGTGAAAAGCTCCTGTCTCCATCGTCTGCAATCACTCTACATGTCCTCAGGCCAAGGGCCTTCTTCCATGGCCTTGCTGTACCTCAGCCAGGAAGCGATCTACATGGAAGACCACCCTGGTCAGTCCAGCACCCAGTTACCAAGTTCTCTGATCTCTCCTCAGCTTTGGCTGTGTCCTGACCTTGTTACCAGCCCAAGCTCTTCCGCCTTCCAGATCCTAAACTCAGACTCCTAATTCCCCCTGTCAACCTTTCTCTCTCTGCTTCACTTACCTAGGATCCTCCATCACCCCGTCCCACCCCAAAGATTTTTGGCATCCCTTTCTTCATTTCTAGCCACAGTACGGTATTCTCCAAATATCTTCCCACTCCACTCCTCCCACCCTGAGCGCCCCTCCTAGTGCTGTGCCCCAGCCACACCCCGCTCGGTCCCCGTGGGCTACGGGGTGCCTGCACCAGCTCTAACAGACTGGCACCTTTAACGCCAGCTCACTCCCCAATGATGGCTCCGTAACCCTCCCCTTACTACTTCTTTCCCATCTCCCAGTCTCTCTTTCTGCAAACAGCCTGCCTTTATCCCACAACCCCATCTGTTTCCATGTGTTCTTCCTCCAGGTTCAGGACCCTGCCTCGGTCAGTCTAGCAACCTGGCTTCCTCCCCACACCTTCTCCACAGGCTCTCTCCTCAGCTTAGAGTTTGTTCTCTCTCTGTGTGGAGAATGGCTGGGATTGACCCAGGGCCAGTGTGAGTAAACTCCATTCTCTGCCACAGAGCCACACTCACTCATTAAAACGCTACTCCGAGCCCTGACTTCCACTCCTCTTCTCCCTCCCTCCCTCGCCTCCTTGCTTGTTTTGAAGACTGGGTTTTCCTGTGTAGCCCAGCGCAACCCTAAACTGACAGTCCCGCCGCCTCAGTCTCCCAGAGCCATCGCCAGTTGAGTTAGCTTCCCTGCACACCACCTTCACTGGCCACCCTTGCTTCCTCCCTCAGCCTTTGCTGCCCAGCACCATGAGTCGCTCCCTCTCTCCAGGACTCCAGAGTCCAGTCTCCCTCTAGTGCTAGATGCTGCTGGCCGGCCGGCCCCTCGAGGTTCTCCAGCCCCCCCTGTAACACCTTTGGCCCCAGCCTGTCCTCATGTCCCTGGGTCCTTCCTTAGCATCTCTCTGGGAATGTCCTGATGGAATGCTGGGGTGTGCCAGAGTTCCATTTTGATGTGACTCGCCTCAGTCACTGACTTCGTTGCCATTGTCTCCCTTCCTCTGCTCTCCTCCCTTCCTTTCTTCTGTATTCTACCTGCTCTTTTTCTCTAGAAAGGGTCTCACATGATACAGGCTGGCCTTGAACTCTCTGTGTCTCCAGAGAGGACCTTCACCGCCTGACCCTCCTGCCTCCCCCTCTCAAGTACTAGGATTACAAGCACTCACCAGCTAGCCTTGGGTTTCCACTTTCTGGTTAATCCAACATTGTCCTTCAGAATGATCTTGAACTGTCCTCTTTTCTGGAAAGTCTCTCAGTGCATCCAAGCTCTGTCTAGTGATCTCCATTAGTAGCCCTCCCAGGTGCCCAAGAGTCCCTGCCAGCAGAGGTGGATCTTTCTGCAGCCTTCAGTGAGCTGTCAGCTTGAGCAGGGTCAGCTGGGAACCTGCTTAACATCAGAGTAGGCCTCAGTGTGCGTGGAGGACAGTGTGCTTCTACTGCAGGCTTTTATTTGGGGGCTGTTTGGTTTCGGGGTTTGTTGCTGTTTTGATTTAGTTTGTTTGTTTTTGTTTTGAGTCCTAGGGCTCAAACTCAGAGCATCATACATGCTAGATAAGCACACTGCCGCTGAGCTATCCCCCAGCTATTTGGTTTTGGGATTTGTTTTGTTGTTTCACACTAGGTCTCAATATGTAGCCCAGACTAGCCTCAAACTCATGAGCCTCCTGCCTTAACTCCCTCAATGTTGGGATTACATATGTGCCCCATCACACCCAGACCATAGGTTTTTCAGCACCCTGCACTGTTTCCAGGGTCGAGGCTTTGGTTTCCCTGCTGTTCCTGACTTTACCTTCTCTCTCTCTCTCTCTCTCTCTCTCTCTCTCTCTCTCTCTCCCTGCAGCCTACATGAAGAGGCGACACAGCTCTGTCAGTGACAGCCAGCCCTGTGAGCCCCCCTCTGTGGGGATCGACTACAGCCAGGGTGCCAGCCCCCAGCCGCAACACCAGCTGAAGAAACCTCGAGTGGTGCTGGCTCCAGAGGAGAAGGAGGCGCTGAAGCGAGCGTATCAGCAGAAGCCATACCCATCACCAAAAACAATCGAGGAGCTTGCCACACAGCTCAACCTGAAGACCAGCACCGTCATCAACTGGTTCCATAATTACAGGTAGAGCCTGCCAAGAGCCCCACAGCCCCGACCATGAGTACCTGCCTCACAGAGCACTGGGTAGCCTTGGTCCCTGAAGAACAAAACACTGCTGTGCACCATGAACGGCTGGCTAAAGGGACTACTGCCCCACATGGCTGACCTCCTCCCAGGACTGACGAAACGTGTGTGTGTGTGGTGTGTGTGTGTGATGTGTTATGTGGAGGTCAGAAGACAGCTCTCAGGATTCAGTTCCAACCACTGTACGGGATTCTGGGAGGGAACTCAGTTTGTCAGGTCTGTGTGCAAAGTGCCTTTGTCTGCTGGTTCATTTTGCTGGTGGTATTGTCATCATTTTAGACAGTGTCTGGCCTGTAGACCAAGATGGCTTCGAACCCAGAGATCTCTCTACCTCTGCCTCCCAAGTACTGGGGTTAAAAGCCACATCCATCTAGCCCTCAGGGTTTCTGTTAAAAAAAAAAAAAAACAAGCTAGGGACTGGTAGCATGTCCCAGGAAAGGTGCCTGCATCAAGCCTGACTACCTAAACTTGACGTCAACCCTGGCCCCACCCAGTGGAAGGAGAGAACTGACTCCAGGAAGTTGTCCTCTGCCTTGCACACATATGCCATGGCATATGCTTTGTCCACACCTATTTCACACACACATGCAAAAAGAAAATTAAAACGAAACCAAGAACAGGGTCATTCAGAACTAGCCTAGGTCCGGTGTGTGGCTTGGCAGTAGAGCTCTTGACTGGCATCCACCGGTGGGGGGGGGGGAGGCACCAGGGTGCAGCCCTGCATGAACAAGGCCGCCTGCTTTTCTGTACATCAAACCCAGGGCTGCGGCCGTGTGGCTCAGTGGTGGAGCGGCGCACCCTCTCCAGACGTAAATAATAAATGTGTGTCCTTCAGCCAGTACTCCAAGAAAAGTCCCACAGGCCCCCCAGGGAGGCTGGTGTATAAAGCCAGATCCTACACCACCTGTTTGCTACCTCCAGCCGTTCACCTCTGCCTTGCTAGTCAGAGCAAGACTCTTTCACTCCAAAGGCCCTGTAAGAACTGGCAGTGTAGTACATACCTATAAACCTGGCACTTGGGAAGCTGAGGTAGGGTAGCTCCAGGCCAACCTGAGCTACATAGTAAGGCCATGTCTCAGAGAGAGAGAAAGTTTGAGAGCAAATGAACTCAAACGTCCACATTTATTTATCTAAGTTACGTAGCTAATAAATGGCAAAGCAAAACCCAGCATACTTACATCCTGTTTGTAAGACTTAGCCTAGCTGCCTAAGTAACCTGCCATCTGAGTGGGCAGAGCAGAACTGGGTGCTCAGCCCACCCTTGAGGCTGGAATACTGATCCTGAGCAGGGCCGCCTTCCCGATCTCATGCTCCTATAGCTCCCTAGGAAAGCTGCTACAGCTGGGTACTTCTGGGACCTATCCAAACCTCACTTTTCTAAATCACAGCCTGAAAGTCTTCAGGACAGTGACCAGAGAGATGGCTCAGCAGTTAAGAAAACTGACTGCTCCTCCAGGGGACCCAGGTTTGGGTCCCAGCACCCACATAGTGGTTCACAGGTTCTGTAACTCCAGCTCCAGGGGATCTGAAGCTCTCTTTTGGCCTCCGTGGGCACTGGGTACATACATACATACAGGCAAAACATTCATACAAAATAAGGAAGTGTTTTTTTAAAAAAAAAAGCTGGACATAGTAGCATATACATGCCTTTAATCCCAGCCTCAAAAGGAAAATGTTCAGATTTCACTCTAGCAAAAGCAAGTAACTGTGGACTAGGTAAGCAACCACCCCCAAGGTTCTCATATCTTGAGCCATACCCACAGCCCCTAAATTAAGCCCAACCTACCTATGTATTCCCTTAGCTGTGCCTTGGAGCACAAGCCTATAACCCCAGCTCTTCGTGGAGCTGAGGCAAGAGGACTTAGAGTTTAAGGCCAGCATGGGCCACAGCTAAGTTTAGGGGAAGCTTAGAAAGACCATGTCTTAAAATTTAAAAGTTCAAGAAGTATTTGGGGGTAGGTGGGTCTGGAGAGATAGCTCAGAGGTTAAGAGTACCAGCTGTTCTTCCAAAGGTCAATTCCCAGCAACCACATGGTGGCTCATAACCATCTCTAGTGAGAGCAGGTGCCCTTTTCTGGTGTGCAGGCACACATGCAAGCAGAACACTGTATAAATCAATCAGTCAATCCTGGGAGAAAAAAAACAAAGTGTTGGCTAGAATCAGCCAGTCGGGGTTTGGGGCCATGAGCTTAGATGACATATGTTTGCTAGGCATGCTTAGAGCCCCTAGTTCAGTCTTCTAATGTGGGGTACAGAGAGGGTATTCCCTTCATTCAATAGTAGTAACAACAACAACAAAAAGTCTTAGCCATGTCCCACCCCAGGGTTTCATAGAGGGTCCCTTTATGCAGGTCGCTGGGCTTGGTGCTAATTTCCCCCGGAGATGCTTTTCCAACTGGACATTTGTAGTGCCATTTTCAAAGCACCAGTGCCCTCTTCTGACCTGTAAGAGCTCTGGGCACATGCAGCACACACAGATACATACAGGCGAGACTCCATTGAGTTCTTTTGTTCGCTTGATACACTAAAAGCACACGTAGTCCCCTCCCTACTGGATCAGCTGACTCTTTCCCACTGAGCCTGCTTCCTCCTAAGGAGGGAGTCAGTGGAAGGTACACCCTACCTTCTGTGGCTCAGAGCCGCAAGTTACAAGATTCCCACCTCAGGTCATTTCCAATGAAGTTTCATTTAGTTAGCCAACGAGTGCTATCCCATGCCAGGAACCATTTGTTCTGCACAGAGGGGAAGCAGCAGGCTAATGGACCATCAGGGTAAGGCAGAGACGGAAGAAATGGGCTGGTCAGTAACTACAGGACAGAATCCCAATTCCCAGGATGCTGAAACCGGACCCTAGGTTCAAGGCCAAGCTAAGTGAGCCACGTGACAAACTCAAGATTAGCCTGGTGTGGTGTTACATAACAAGACCCAGTCTCAAAAAATAAGGCAAAGCTGGGATGTAGAGTTGTAGCAGCTGGCAGAGTGCTTCCCTCGGCGGGCTTCTCTTCCCAGCACCTCACAGACCAGGCGTGGTGTGCACACTTGCAACCCAGCACTGGGGAAATGGAGGCTGTAGGACTGGAAAATCAAGGTCACTCTTACCTAATTAGCAGGTTCGAGGCCAGTCTGGGAGACACCGGGTCTTCTCTCAAACGAATAAGTATGTGGTAGAGAGAAGGTGGCATCTCAGCTCGGAGGCAGGGTTTGGGTAAGGGAGAGGGGCTCCAGAGGACAGTGACCGAAGCCTGTGCACAGGACCCTCACAGGGCTGTCGCTTGTGTCTTGCAGGTCGCGGATCCGCAGAGAACTGTTCATAGAGGAGATCCAAGCCGGAAGCCAGGGCCAGGCCGGTGCCAGCGACTCACCTTCGGCCCGAAGTGGCCGCGCAGCGCCCAGCTCGGAAGGTGACAGCTGTGACGGCGTGGAGGCCACAGAAGCGGAGGAGCCAGGGGGCACCAAGTCTCAGGGAGGGCCGGCAGACATGGCCACAGCCTCGGCTGACCGGGAGGAGGCGACGCAGCCGGCCGAGAAGGCGAAGGCGCAGCCCCTCTCCTCGGGAACCCCAGCACAGGACGACAGGGAAGACGCGGGCCGGCCCAGGCCGCTGCCCGAGGGTCCCGCCGCCGCCCCGGCGCCCGTGCCAAACCTCGCCGCACATGCGGCTGGAGAGGACGCCGCTACCTCAGCCACTGCGCCGGAGGAGCCCGAGGCCCCAGGGGCGGCCAGGCCGGGCCCTGCCGAGCGCAGCTCCGCGTTGCCAAGCACCAGCGCGCCCGCGCGGAGGCCCAGCTCCCTGCAGAGCCTCTTCGGCCTGCCCGAGGCAGCGGGCGCCAGGGACAACCCAGTGCGGAAAAAGAAGGCCGCCAACTTGAACAGCATCATCCACCGCCTGGAGAAGGCTGCCAGCCGGGAGGAGCCCATTGAATGGGAGTTCTGAGGCCGGGCCTCTGGGCCTGAGCAGCAGGGCCCGCGGGCCAGCCAGGCCTACTTGCGCCCAGCGGGCCCCAGGCCCCGGCAGCGCTGGCCATCGAGGGCCAGGCCGGCGTGGAGGGCGGCGTCGCCCAGGCCTGGACGTGTTGCGCACTTAGCCCTGCGGGCCACAGGGCAAAATCGCCATAGGCCAAGGTGCATATAGAAAACAAAGGAGCATTAAGCCCAATCTATGTCGTGTTTTCAAGGAAGAAAACGGAAATGTGTAGTCCAGCTTTTTTGTACCCTGAAGTGTTTTTGGTTTTGGTTTTTATTTTTATTTTTTATTGCCCTAAGTGATTTCCACAGGTTCTGGAATAACTCTTTACAGCTTTTGCCTTGCGCCCTCCTCTTTCGTGTGGGCTTTAAAAAAAAAAAATCAAACCCACATATTAAAAGGGGGCTTTTTATCTGCCATCTAATGGCTTCAGAGCGATAATACACTATTATCTTCTTAAACCAGGAAGGGGGGGATTTTTCAGAAAAAAAATTAAAAAAGAAAGTTTTTGTAGCTGTTCAGTTGCCACTAAGAGATTGCACAGTCAAACCGACTCTAAACACACTAGTTTGGATTCCTAAATATTTTCAAGAAAAGAATCTTCTCGTTTGAAACTTTGAATTAAAATAAAACACATTTACTCCACATATTTTTTAACAAAAAAGAAAAAAAAAAGAAAAGTCACATCAGGAAAACTGTCTGGTTTTGTGGTAGCTGGCGTAGTGTTTTCTTGTACGTAACTGAACCCTGACACGTAGTGCACATTGATCCATAGCTTTAACTGGCTCTGGGCTTTTGCTGGCCAGAGTTTGTTTAATACACTCCATTCTAGGCCAAATCAGGACAAAAAGAAAGATCCGAATCTAGGTATTTTATAATCTGCTTTTTAACCTCTAACCGCAGAGCACGCTGATCAGACCTCATATCTCGGAGGTGTAGGAGACAAGTTAGAACTGTAGCTTGTACCGGTTCCTTTGTTTATTTATGCTGTCTACGTCTGTGTTGGCACATCTGCGCATGTGCAAGCATCGGAAGGAAGGAAATGTAGGCCGGCGAGGTCGCAGCAGTAGTCCCTCGTGTGCAGGCAACCATCTGCTCATCTTCCCTTGGCACAGAAGGCGCTCACCTCACGCCGCTCTCCAGGGCGCCTGACGGACTGCGCCCCCCAGGGAGAGCTGCTCCCTGGGCTTGGGCAGGCTGGCACAGCCATGCGCGCACTCTCTTCCTCTCTCTTCTCCCGGTCCCCTTCCCACCACAAGCACTGATAACCCTATCTATTCGTGGGAAGCTTCCTTCCCTGCAGAAGAGAGAATGCTGCAGTCTGGGCTCGAGTCCCATCCCTGTAGAGACACCCCAAACTCACCCCAACGGTGACACTCTTCAATTCCAGACCAGGCCATCGGCCCTTCGCTCATTTCTCCTCTCACAAGGTTTTTAATGCACAGTTTAGGGCAGTCTAAGTACAAATCAAAAGTCTAACTTGTCTCTTGATTCCTCCCGTCGTCTATGTGTATGTGCGTGAGTATAGAGGTGGATGGAAGTGTGCGTGCGTGTGCGTGTGCAATTTTATATGTCTGTATTTTCTTAAGTACCTGTGCACACACAGAGTGCATTACTGCCACCTTTTTCAATAAGCTGGTTTATCAGTCATGGCTTCTACAGGTTTTGCTAATTTAGACTCCTTATTGCCATATCTTTAAACTAACAATAGATGATTTCGGTATATATATATATTTTTTTTTTTGCTTATTTATAGGTGCTGTATTTTATTATCTGATTGTTAGGAAGGGATGAAAGGGGCAAATATTCTTTAGAGGGATAGACTGCCGGCAGTATTGGGTTTAATTTACAAGGTGTAGCTGTCATACTGTATATTACTGATTGAAAACTTTTGACCGTATTGTGTATCATTGAAACTTTTGTCTTAGGTCAACATCTTTGGATGACATTTTAATGGTGCATTCATTATTTCTTAAGTTTAATTAATTAATAGTTTTTTAACTTGGGAGGGTGGGAGGGAGTTCTGATTTTGCAAGTATCTCCCGCTGTGACACCCCGGTGTGCTTGTTGTCCCTTAGCTGGTAGGCTTTGACTGTCAGATGTGAAACCACATTTCTTGCATGACGTTTGAGCTTACATACTTTCATTCACAATCTTTCAACCTGCAGCTGCAAGCCCTTAGTTGGAATTTTCACACACTGTAAGAGTCATGACACTAATGGCAATGCCTTTTCATGAATGAGAAGTTTCCAGGAGGCTCTAGGAGGCTGGGAGCAGGCCCCTTGTTCTGTCTTTGGATGGTTGCTTCACTTCTGCGCTTGAGATCCGGTTCAGTGAGAAGAGAATTCACAGTGGAGGGACAGAAAAAAAAATGGAGTCATGCCCAGCTTTGGGCTGAGGTGTTGAGTGAGGAAGAGCTCACCCACAACCAGGGATTTCTTAGGGACTTGGAGGAGCAGAGTCACTGTGGGATCATGGGACCCTCCACAGAAGCCTCAAGGGACTCTCTCACTGTGGGTGATGGATCTTACCTCACTTTGGTGACAGAAGTACCTAATTTTCACTGGAATGAGCAGCACAGGTAACAGGACTGAGGAGAGTAGCGAGTTAGTTTCAAAGGCAAGACTGTTACTTACACACAGCGTTAAAACTGAAGAGACAGAAGTCAAGATGTTTTCCATCCTGGCAGCCACACGGTAGCAGTCTAAGACAGCCTTTGGCTCTTCCAAGCAAGCTAGTCGTTTTTGTTTCTTTAATTTTTGAACTAGGTTCTTATCAATTTCTATCCTGTCTCATGCCAGATCTCCATCTGGGTGCTTGATAAAATCGCTTGGTTAGGTTTTTGGTTGGGTTTTCTCTTATTTATTATTATTTAATTGAGATCCCAACTTGATGGTGTTTGGGGTTAAGCTCACACTGTCTGTAGTATTTCTAAGAGCTGCCAGTAGACAGCACAGAAACCTGGGGCTTATATCTCCCTCATCAGGTCCTCCACCCCTTCCCAGTTTGAGTCCAAGGGTTCATCTTTCATCTTGAAAAGCAATATTCAAGTGCCTTGAGCAGCGCTCCCACGTGGTGACCTCCCACCCCTGCAGACAGTCAGCCATCCTCTTGATGTTCTCTCGGCTTAAAAAGCTGAATTGTCCTCCCCGGGGAGAGTGGTTCCAGCTGAAACACTTCACCGAAAGCCACTGTTGCTTTGAAATGAGAGGCAGCAGCCCTGACCAGGCGCCACGCCATCCCCAGCTGGCTAAGTGGAGGCCCGACCTAAGCCCATGTTCACATCAGCCGCTTCAACGCCTCTCGCTTCGTGCCCGGGTCCCCTTATGGCAGTGGCAGGCATGTGGGCTCTTAGATGCCTGCCACTCACTTTCACTCTGACCTGGCTCCTAATCACCACCTCCCTAAAACTTTCAGATGTCCTATGTGAACTAGACCACTCTTTAGGGGGGGAAAAAAAAAAGAATGCAGGCACTTAGCTGAAGTTGGTATTTTCTTAGCCACCTTGAAGTGGCTTATGACTAGCCTGGGTTAGAAGCAGGGCAGACTCCCTGGGATGCAGATCGGCCACCTGCTCTGAAACAAGGCAAAAGCGGACAGCTGTCAGCCTTCTGGACAGATGCTTCTGCTCGCAAGCTCAGGTGTCTCCCTGTTCTCCCCTCATAACAGCATCTCCTTTTATCCCTGTTTTTAAGTCAGATCTGGTAGATGCCCAGAATACAGCAGGGCTCTCATGGCCAAGAGAGTCCCTGCCCGTTGCTACTCCATAGACCCACATAGCCCACCTGCCTCGGCAGCCAGGGCCAAGTTCAGCTGTGGAGCCCATGAGCAAGCTTGTACCCAATGCACAGCGGCCACCCTCCAGGTATCAACTGAGCACCCTGAGGTGGTGCAGCTGTGAAAGCCCAGAGGCAGGGAGCCAGAGTTGCTAAGACAATGGGCTGGTCTGAGAATTTTTCATGCCCATCACTCTGCCAGCAATAGATGGGAACTACAAAGAAAGTGAGGGTAGGGACAAGCTCCTCAGTAAAGGGTGCAGCTGCCTTCCTGCCATAGGAAGCCTGACTATCTGTCCCTCAGAGCTATGTTCTCTGGACTCCAGGCCTCCTCAGAATTGCACTGGTTCAATTCCCATCACAGGCTTGTGTTTTTCATGTGTTACTACAGGTACCTAAAGTCATTCCAGCGGCCCTCTGAGGCCATGAGCCATCCTTGCAGAGGAGATGGGCTAGAACAAGGGTCGGGGAACACATGGGGGGAGTGGAAGGCTCTTAGTGAAGTTGCTCCTGTCCCTTCAGTCTCTCCCCTCATCTGTTCTACCTCACCACTTGGTGTCACTCACAATTTCGAGGCAGGTGGCCTGGGAGGAGGAGGGCAAGCTTGACTGATCACCTCAGCGTGGCAGGTGGACTTTTTGCCTCCTTCCCTGTGTACATCCGGAAGTGGTGTCTGGAGTCTGCTAAGCAAAGGGACTTTCCTCTTGGCTTCCAGTTCTTGAAACGCTAGCAGCTGTTGGGGCTGTGGGCAGTGGTCTCCAGGCTCAGACATTCTGTCTTTGGCTCTGCCTTCCCACACAGCTGTCAGACTCAGTCGCAGCCGTTCCTTTGGCCCCAGCTTCTCCGCAGACGACATGAGCACACTTCCCGGGGACTAGGTTTGTGAGACTGCCGTGAGCTCTGTTTTGCACACGGCTGTCGCCAGGACATGAACGGTCATACGGCTTTCTTCACCGTCACGCATGCCTAGTCTTTACTTCCCAAAAGAGCATGCCAGTTTCTGTTCCATGTGGGAGGAAGCCAGCTCCCAGGAGAGCTGGTGGACCTGGTTCACAGCTGCTTCAGTGGCCAAAGTGTCCCGGTAGGACACAGGGAGCTCCCGTTTTGTGGTGTTCCCAGCATGAATGTCCAAGCCCCCAGGTGCAGCTGCTGCTGCGGTTTCTCCAGGCTGTGGCTGAATCTCGGAAGGCTTTGTGGCCACTATGGCAGCTCTTGTCCCAGCTGTCCGGAGACGTCCAGGTGGCTTGGTTCCATCTCCCAGAGGTGCTGCATGCCACTCTGGCCGGTAAAGTTGCTTAGACAATGGGCTGATCTGAGAATTTTTCATTGCCATCACTCCAGGAAAGAGGGTAGGGACAAGCTCCTCAGTAAAAGATGCAACCCCAAGACCTCAGGCTCAGCCAGGAGAAGGGAGTCCAGGGACAGCAGGAAAAGCCAGGGTTCCCCATGTGCCGCTGAGGACCTGCTTCTTCACCCTCGTGCCCACCCCACCCCCTCCTCCACCTCCCCTCCAAAGATCCCGTGGCCACGTCTTCAGTGGCAGATCAAGTTTTCATTTTTGGACAAAGTGACATTTTAGCTTTAACAAGACATTTCCAAAGCTCCTGGTCTCCTTTGAAATGCTGGCTTTAAAAGTTCAGCATTGTTGCCAAGAATGAGGGGGAGGGGCTAATGAGAGAAAGACATTAGATTATGCATGAATGTGCACCCCCACCCTCGGTTATTCAAATTTCAAATGCCTTTGAGTTGCTTTTCATAGATGGGTTTAGTTTGCTCACGTTAAGTAGTCTGTTACTGTAAATTGTGTAGTGTTCTGGCTTTAATTTCTACCACAAATATGCTATGTACTAAGCTTTCTGTGATCAGAAAGGAAAGGTGCCTTAAATCCCAATACCATGCCTCTATCCCTATGGAAAATATATCAGAAGCACAGCGCCAGGAAGCGTTGGGACTTCCTTTGGCAAAATAGGACACCATTCAGCAAGACACATCCAAGTGGCACGGGGCGGCTTTGGTTTGCTGATTTTCTTTTTTTCTCCCAACCCATAAGTATCTTTTGTTGTTTATTTTTCGTAGTTTGCTTTAAACAGGAAGCACTTAATAGATGGCTCTGTGTCGAAGCTCTGTGCAATGGGAATCATGTTGCTTTTGTGGGGGGGTGTTTTTCCTTTTGTTTTTTGTTTTGTTTTGAAAAAGATAGCATTATTGCACACCAAATGAACTCCTAAGTAAGCTTTAGAACCAGGATCGATTCAGGTCGTGGGAGAGTATGTTCACTGTAGTTCTGTGTGTTTGTGAACCGACAGGCAGGTGGCCTCCTCTGGCCCCTGAGGCTCGGCCCTGGGCCCTGGCTAATGGGCCCTGGGTCACAGCTGCCTGGGTTCGAGCAGCCGGGAACCTTCCCGAATGTCTGAAGCACTTAACCCTCTCTTTGTGGAGATAGACCGACTGCTACTGACCTGTCAGCATACTCGAGGGTGATTATAAAAGGATGTTTCTTTAAGAAAGAAAAATATTTCTATCCTCTTCTAATTTATTATTAGGTTAATCATGTAAGTACTTATCAGGAGTGTGTTGTCATTTTGTATTGTTGTTGCGAATGCTTTTGCTGTCACTCCAGTGGTTACTGTCCTTTGCTCCCCAGAGTCTGAAGAGGTCTGGGGACCTGCAGTGGGCGGTGTGAGGGACAAAAGGGAGTCCTCCAGCACATTCAGACACCTGTCTCCCTTATACCCGCTCAGAACCTGTCAGTCTCTGCATATCCTAACTGTTGAACCAAGAGTTGATGAACAAAGCTCCCACGTCAGGTGGCACTGGATGGGAGAATTGCTCCCAGAGGCACTGCAATGCAGTGAGGAAGAACAGAAGAGCCAAGTTCAAGTTCCCCCAAAGCCTCCTAGAGCCTCTGTTAAGACTTCTGGGTTCATGAAGGTTGGCGAGCCTAGATCAGAGGAGAGGCAGACAGTCTAGCCAAGGCCATCGCCCTGAGCTGGGAAGTGGCTTCTCAAGGTCCCCAGGGGTTGCGTGTCTTTGATTCCCATTGTCAGTTGTCCTTCCTTGCATTCAAATTCAGTCAAAAGCATCCTTGGAGGCAGCAGGTATTTCCTAGCACTGGAGGTGTCTGGAGGCCTGAGAGAACCCTCTACCACCTCACGTCGTGTCGTCGTAAGAAGTGGAGAAAGGATTTTCTATGGCTGGAAATACAGTCAGCAGAGCCCCCCACCCCACCCCCCATTGCTTGCTCAGTGGAGGGCGGGGGGGTTTGTGGGACTGACCTCTACCGGGGCTGGGCAAACTTAAAAAAAGACTCACCCCAGGGACAGGCAAGGGGCAGGGCCGGGTACCTGCCTTTACCCCCAAACAGCCCACCGAACCCAAACGCACGTTTCTTTCTGTACTGTACCCATCCTCTGAAATGAGGGGGAGGGGCACTCATCCCTACTTCCTCTCTTTGGGGGTAAAAGTCCTCTGATAAAATTGTCCTGATCCCCCAGGGTTTTTATTTTTTAATTAGTCTAAGCGGTTCTCATCTCCAATTCTCTCTTTCCACCCTGAACACAGACACACACAAAATCGACATCTCATGTCCCACCCTGAGACCACCCCTGCCTCAGAAAAATGCCGGACATTTTGGAGACATGAGAGTGCATTTGAAGAAAAAGGAAAAAAAAAAAAAGAGCCTTCAAGCTTTGTGAGAATAGCTTGTCAGAGCTGGCAGCAGGGAGGGGTCAGCTTCGTGACCCTCCTGAGTCCGTCCCCACAGAACAGGACACCTAGCTCTTTGCGTTTGTGCAATAACTACTTGCTAGGAGAGCGGGTAGCACCACCCTCCTCTAGACTACTAACACAGCACAAGACACACGTCAGCCCTTCCTAAGCACCCCCTGCCATGTGTTACATTTTAGCAGTATTTACTTTTCTTTTTTTCTGTCAGGCACTAAGTCTTAGGTGTTTATAGAGCTTGTGTGTTAATAATACAATCACTTTTTTTTTTTTTAATTTTAAACTTCACCAAGACCCAATTGACCAAAAAGAAGTGAGAGGAAGAAAAAAAATTGTAAAAGATGTCTCTCTCCTTTTTTTTTTTAATGTGTACAAGTAGTAGTTTTGAGAAGCCTTGTGTTGCTGTGACCATCTCCTATCATGCCTTGATTTTCTTGCGATTTGTTTTTGACATTAAGAGTTGGTCCCGGCTGGCGTGGGGTGGGGGAGGCACCGTCGGCCCCTCAGCGTCGTCCCTTCTTGTCTTTGGTTAGCCATACGAAATGTTTGTTCTCTGCACTGTCCAACAGTCCCTATTATGATACGGAGAAGCAATATCACCGAAGCTCACACCATGTATTATTCACTAGCACCCTAGGTGTGATAACTGAAGTAAATATCTTTTATACAAACACAAGCGCGTGTGGGCTGTTTTTATTGAAGATTTCTCCGCCCTGAGGAACAGCAGCCTCTTAGGCCCAGGGAGCACCGCAAGACTCGCCATTCACTTCCTGCAGCCCCGGTTGTCACGTGCTCCCAGGCAAAGCTGGGAGAAGCCTGGGGTGTGGGGATTCGGGTGTTGACCCAGTGGGAGCACCTAAAAGGCCTGCTTGCTTGCTTGCTTGCTTGCGTCACTCGCTGTTCCTGTATCTTTAAGCCAAGCACTCCGGCGTCCGCCTCCTTGCCTGTCACTAAGGGGACGACACATGACCTGCTCTGCAGACCTGTTATGAGGGCCACTGGTCTCTGCTGCCAAGTGTGGTCCTCACGGTGGGTACTGACAAGGGGGACAAGAACAGAGATACAGCTGTCACCCTCAGTAGCCTGAGGAGTTCTGTTATCTGTAGGGACCTCAACTCAGGTAAAATGAGATCCTTGGCTGTTCTGCAAAAAAGAATTCAGGATAAGACAGTATGAGCAGAGCTGAGGTTTATTAAAAACTTTTTTTTTTAAATTTGGCGTGTATGTGAGTACCTACCCAGGGTCAAACTTTGGTCCCGAGGCTTGGTGGCACCGTTACCCACTGAGCCATCTTGCTGGCCCCAACATTGTTCATTCAAGAAGAAAAGATGCCTGAGAAAGTGTGGGCTGGCCGCCTTCAGGAACGCCACTCTGGCTTTGCAGTAACAGTACTCAGAAGCTGGTGGGGGTTACTGTCTTTCAGTGGATGCTAAGGAATTTAAGTGACATCACGGTGTTTCCTGGGGGAACCTGACGGGGTTACAACTGTAAAGCCTGCAGGAAGGTGGGCTCTCTTTAATCAGTTACTGGTCCTGTCTGGGAGAGAAGTGAAGCCCTGGGGCCTTATACATTCAGGCATTAAGCCTGCAATTTTAACATAAAATAGGTAACATACAAAAGGAATATTATCTCCATACTGGGAACCTTCAAAGCAAATGTTAATAGAATCAGAACTCTTTTAAGATTTCTTTTTATGTTGTTAGTATGTTTTGCCTACATGTATGTCTGTGTACCTTTCATCTCTGGGAGCTCTCCTTCCCTCCCCCTTCAGTCAGACACTCAGGGGAAACAGCTGTCACTGTCATTGTCTCCAGACACCAGTCCCTCCCATTTCCCAAATTTCCCACCAGAGCCCTGCAAGGTGTGCTGGATCCACTGAGGCCTAGCACGTCCAGCTCAAGCCATGTCTATGTAAGATTCTGTCTCAGAACAGAAATGTCTATTAACTGAATTATACAACAGAATTGTTTTTAACCTAGAAAGTTTCCCAAATGCTTTTAAAGTCAGCTCTCATGGTCCTGGACTGAAACTGCCTGGCAAGGAGCCCAAGGCCATGCCTGTTGCCCATTGTTCCCCAGCCCTACCGCGACACCTGGCATTTTTCTTTTTTAGGTTTTTATTTATTGTGTGTGTGGGCGTTTTGCCTGCAAATACACCTGTGCCCCATGTGCATGCCAGGTGCCCAAGAAGGCCAGAAGAGGGCATTGGAGCTAGAGTTGCAGATGGTTGTCAGTCACCATGGGAGCGCTGGGAATTGAACCTGGGTCCTCTGGAAAAGCAGCCAGTGCCATTAACCACTGAGCCGTTGCTCCAGCCCCATACCTGGGTTGTTGTTTTGTTTGCTTGCTTTTTAATGTGGGTTCTGGGGTAGCAAGCGCTTCCCCTTTTGTTTTGTTTGTGGTAAGGCAGGGTCTCACACCCCAGGCCAGTATGGAGCTGCAGAGTTGAAAATGGCCTCAAACGACTGATTCTGCCGCCTCCCGTGGGCTAGGGTTCTCATCTCCTGGCATGTGGCTTGACACCCAGCTTTGCATGTGGTTTTGCAGAGCTGCTCTATAAACCCAAGGTAGGCACAGTGCCAACCCTCCAGGAACAGCCCGGCTGCCTTCTCCAAGGATAAGTGGGTTGGAATCAGATTAGAGCCCTTAATTCAGCCATTCTCGCCCTGTGCATCATAGCCCCCTTAGGGGTCGCATGTCGGAAAGCCTACAAGGCATATATTTACAAAATTACAGTTAGGAAGAAGTGACAAATAATTTTAAGGTCGGGGGTTAGTCACCCTGACATGAGGAACTATGTTAAAGGGTCACAGCATTAGGAAGGCTGAGAGCCATTAAAGCTTAATAAGATGCTCTGAGAAAGGACGGTTACAGATACACAGGGTGAGTCTGGGATGGGAAAGCATATTGGAACAAGAACGCTGCCCCCTCACCCTGACCACTGTGTACGACGTGTCAGTGGCTGCGCAGCACTGGTGGAGGAAGAAACTGTTGGTCCCTGCCCCTGCTCACCGTGCTCCCTTACAGTGGCAGGGACCTGGGCCGTTCTAGGATCATGGAGGGGCTGCAGGTGTGGCTCAGCAGCCAAGCATTCTCTACTTGTGAGCATGTCTCAGTGGTGGAGCCCCTGCCTAGCATCCCCCGGTAAGGGGCTGGGGTGTGGCTCACTAGTAGAGCCCCTGCCTAGAGTCCCCCAGTGAGGGGCTGGGTGTGGCTCAGTGGTCACCTGCCTAGAATCCCCCAGTGAGGGGCTGGGTGTGGCTCAGTGGTGGAGCCCCTGCCTAGAATCCCCCAGTGAGGGGCTGGGTGTGGCTCACTAGTAGAGCCCCTGCCTAGAATCCCCCAGTGAGGGGCTGGGTGTGGCTCAGTGGTAGAGCCCCTGCCTAGCATCCCCCAGTGAGGGGCTGGGGTGTGGCTCAGTGGTGGAGCCCCTGCCTAGCATCCCCCGGTAAGGGGCTGGGGTGTGGCTCACTAGTAGAGCCCCTGCCTAGAATCCCCCAGTGAGGGGCTGGGGTGTGGCTCAGTGGTAGAGTCCCTGCCTAGAATACCCCAGTGAGGGGCTGGGTGTGTCTCAGTGGTAGAGCCCCTGCCTAGAATCCCCCAGTGAGGGGCTGGGCTGAGGCTCAGTGGTAAAGCTCCTGCCTAGCATCCCCCAGTGAGGGGCTGGGGTGTGGCTCAGTGGTAGAGCCCCTGCCTAGAGTCCCCCAGTGAGGGGCTGGGGTGTGGCTCAGTGGTAGAGCCCCTGCCTAGCATCCCCCAGTGAGGGGCTGGGGTGTGCCTTAGTGATAGAGCCCCTGCCCAGAATCCCCCAGTGAGGGGCTGAAGGGTGTGTGCTAAATGCTTGTCTACAGTGTGTGAAGCCCTGCATTCGGTTCCCAGACTACCAACCTAAAATGTAATAAAAGACAGCAACAAAGACTAAGGCTTTGTCTGAGCCACTCCTAGGTAGCTCAGCATCTCCAAAGAGCTGGCAGGACACACAGGGCCAAGAAGAGGCTTGTACTGGGAAGCCTGGGGAAAGCAGATCCCAGGAGGAGGAAAAAGCAGGTTTCAGTTCAGACCTCTAAGACTGAGGTGCGTATTAGATAACAGTTTGAGAAGCATGGTGGTACGCAGCTGTCAACACAGCCTTAAGGAGACTGAGGCAGGAAGCTTGCTATAAGTTTGGGGTCCACTTGGCCTTCATAGTGAGACCCTGTCTCTGAGAGACAGTTGAATGGACAAGTGAGATGCATAGCAGAGTCCCAGGCATATAGGTAACGTCTAAGGTAGCCAGCACTGATAAAGGAGTTTGTGAGGCCCTTTGCCCAAGCAGTGCTCAGAGCTTAGCACTCAGGCCAGCCGAGGAGTGGCTGGCAGGATTGGGTACCTGGTGCTCACTGCTGCTGCTGAAGGTCAGACTTGGCAGCGTGCAGGGCTTGTGCGTGACCTGGACAAATGCAGTTGGTGTGGCGAACAGCAGAGCCCAGCGATGGTCTTAAGGACATAGGCACTGGAGAATAAAGTTCTTCAGTGGTACCAAAAGGGGCAATTTGTACTGGGGCATTTGCAGGCAAAACAACTCAGTAGGCATTTCTCAGTGTCTGTGAGGCCTTGTAGATCTGGGGTAAAGGCTGCACATTGAATAACTAGGCTCCCCCTGCCTGGCCTGTGAGAAGCTAGTTTAATATGGCAGGTGCCCCTGCGCCTGACTGACTCCTGTGGTGACACATTCCTACCCTGACGTCTCTCTATTCCACAGTTTTATTTTTTGTGGCGCTAGGGATAGAACCCAGAACCTTGTGTGTGCCGGGCAAGTACTCTGCCTTTGAGTGGCAGCCCCAGCCCCTCACTGAGGGATTCTACACCGGGGTCCTACGGCTGAGCTACAGCGCCAACACCCCCACTCTCCCCAGGGTGTGCTAGGCAAAGGCTCTACCACTGAGCCACACCTCAGTGGAGTTGGGACGAGGATTCTAGGCAAACACTGAGCCACGCTACTACCCCCTTATGCTTTAGCCATGCCATATCCTCAGCTCTTGTTTTATTTGAGACAAGGTCTCACTGTGTAGCACAGGCTGGCCAGGAGCCCATAGTCCTGCTACACGAGGCTTCTGAGTGTGAGATAGCACGCCCAACCCCTGTGTCTTTATGACAGAGTGAGGCCTCCTCTGGTCCTGGCCTTCACAATGTTCTTCTTTCCCTCTGTGGAATGTGCCGTCTTAGGAAGCCCTTCCAGATTCTTCCAGAATGAGGCTCCTCTGTAGGGGCTGAGGCAGTCTGAGGCCCTCTGGCCCTTGTACAACCCAGCCACTGTGTTCCTCACATGTACTCCCCACCACCCAGGCGCCACCTCTCCCCAGTCACTGAGGATGCCCCAGGCCCCTCCTCCACATTCCGGCTGCTCCAGGCTTCACCTGTGTAGACTGGACCGTACCCTTGCCAGCATATCCCCAAACCCTCAGCTCAAGACACCATGCTTCCTCCTTATTCGAGACCCGTCCCTCTGCCACTTGGCCCTGAACACACTCCCTGCAGGGGTTTGCACCTCAGAGTCTCTGCCTCGCCACTCCCTCTCCTTCCCCAGCCATTCCTGGGGTCTCTCCAGCCTCCATGTGCGGCCTCAGGTTTCCAGATCCAAGTACCCCTAGCCACACCTGCAGCCCATCCCTTCCCCATTTGACAGCTGCAGGTCCATTCCTGGCTTCAAACCGGGATTGTCACTCCTACCTCCCCCTCCTTCTATCATCCTGAAGTTGAGCTCCCCAAGTCAGATAGCTTGCCCAAGGTCATGAACTCCCAGAGAGCAGGCCTAAAATTCAAGCTCAGTTCTGGAACATTCCAGCTCAGGACCTTCCCTTCTCTCCACATGGCCATCCAGAGCCATGACCAAAGCCGCCAACCAGCAGGCAGCCATGCCATCTCGCTAAGTCAGATCTGTTGCTGAGGCCCCTCCAGCAGGGCATTGGGTCAGTTGCTTTTCTCATTGCTACAACAAAAGTGCCAGACCAAGGAACTTAAGGGAGGAAGGACTTATGTGGGCTCACAGTCTGAGGGAACACAGTCCTCCACTGTGGAGGAGGCGTGAGGAGGCTGTTCACATGGCAACCACAGTCAGGAAGCAGAAAGAGACAGGCGCCGGTGCTCTGCTTTCTCCTTTGTATCCAGTCTGAGACACCAGGCCACGTGACAGCACTGCCCACATTCAGGGTGGGTCTGCCCTCTTCAGTCAGCGCAGTCTAGAAACTCCCTCACAGGCACACCCGGAGGTTTTTCTCCCAGGTGATCCTAGACCCTGTCATCCGACAGGTGTTACTAAGCGTCACAGGCTCCCCGCTTCTCCCAGTGTGGACTAATAGGTTCCAGCAGTGTCGCTGACCCTGTCCCTTCAGCTCCCGCCCTGCTGCTGCCAGCCTCTTCTCTGACCTAGTTCAGCACACATCCATACTGGCCACTCAGCATTCCCCAAAGCCATATCTTCAGGGACAGTGGCCTCCCCAGACCCTCAGCTCCAACAGAGTGTGTCCACTGCTACTGCAATGTCAGTGAGCATTTTCACCTATTGGCAGGGTCTCGGGCCAGCTGGACGTCCTGTTCACTGGTGAGCGGGCCAGCCGGAGGCCCGAGGCTCTGCTCTCAGGGCACCTCACACATGCCCACAGTGTCCCTGGTGTCCACAGGCAAGGGCCTGCCTTCTTTCTACTCCCAGCAATGACGACGCCTCTTCTGTGTCCATGGGTAGCTCTGGGGCCTCAGGTTGCTCCCATGCTGAGTTGGCCACAGACTGGTGACATGTAAGACAGGTCCACCACAGTATCTGACCCACACCCCCAGGCAATGGTGCAGCAGGGTTCTCTGGGTCCATGGGAAGTATGATGATTTGCACACTTCTAGGGATCCAGGTTCATTCTGGATGGTTAGCAATCTCTTCTCCATTGGTTGCCCTCATACCTGTCCATCTAGCCCAAGGCTCAGGTCCTTTGATAGGGGACCAGTTTGTGGAGATGCAGAATCTGAACCAATCCCTTACTTCCACCTGTCATTTGCCTCGATAAGTGACACCCAGAGCCCCCTGCCTTTCTGTGACTTCCTTCTCTGTCTCAGTGCTTCTGTCTTTCCACTGCCCTGAGTTTGCAGTGCATAGTGAGGGGGGTTTCTGCAGGCCCTCTGCTAGCCTGGATCAAAGGACTCTGCACCAGGCCAGCAGGCCATGACAGTGTGCCCCTCGAGGGTCACCAGGGCCTGAAGTCAGCCTTGATATCTACAGGTGTCCCTCCATGGCACGGTCCTGCCCTCCACCCTGTCGCCTCCTTACTTCATCAATCCCACCTAACCTTGTGGTCCAATAAATGACAGCCATTCAGTCTGAGCAGTGGGAAGTGTGTGGGAACAGGCTGAGCAGCAGAAAGTGCGGTGCAGACAGGCCAAGAGCGTCCTGTGGCTCATGTGCCGCACTGATCAGACCACCAGGTGCAGAAAAGGATGTGCATTGGGATGACAGTGGGCTTCCTCCAGGCCAGGGCCTGGAGCTCAACCGTCACGCTTAGCCTGCTTGCCCGAGTGTGTATTTGGCGGAGATGCACTAAGGCGGGCCAGTACTTGAACCATTTTCCTGTCAGGGCTCATAGGAGCCTCTGGACGTCTGAAACCACAGTGCCCCCTGGTGGCCATGGGCCCAATTTAGCATGAACTTTACTGTCAGCTTTATTTTAAGCATACAAGTATGTATGTGTGTATGTATGTATCTAATGTGTATACTGGTTTTGCCTCCACATGTGTGTCTGGTGCCTGTAGAGGTCAGAAAAGGGTGTCAGGTCCCCTGGAACTGGAATTAAAGCCACCATGTGGATGCTGGCAACTGAACCTAGGCCAGAAAAGGCAGAGCCATCTCTCCAGCCCCGACTGTGACAAGTTTTGCAAATGAAAGACAGAAAGAGTGATTCCAAAGTGGTAGAACCCCTGCCTCGAATTCCCCAGGGAGGAGCTGAGGGAGGGGATGGCTCAGTAGCAGGGTTGTTTCAGTTAAAGGTTCAAGGCCTTGGGTTCTATTTCTAGAATCAGAAAGGGGGTGTAAAAATCACTGGGTTTGCCTTCTTATCAGCACCCCTGGAAAAGAATAGGGTCACAAGCCAGGGAACTGGGTTGTCGCCCCACTAACACCCCCACCTGTGTTCGTAGACTGCAACACGTCTGTGGTCAGTCCCCAAGCTGCGACAGTGCCCCGCTGCACCTCCCCCTCCCCCTCCAGGTGTCCCAGGGCAGCGGGGGCAGCGCAGTGTGGAGGAGGCAGCAGAGCTCTTTGGCATTCAAGCTTTCAAGCTTGGGCTTGTGAGAAAGGTCCCGAGGGTCCCCGTGGCCCAGACTCCTCTCACGGCTGCACCTTCCTTTCACCACAGGGCGCTGCGCGGAGCTGCAGATCCACCTCACCGAGGCCACGGCCAAGACTGTTGAGCAGAAGGAGCTGATTGCCCGCCTAGAGCAGGACCTCAGCACCATCCAGTCCATCCAGCGCCCTGACGCGGAGGTGAGCCTCTACCTCCCTCTGGGCTCGCCGCGCACCCCACCCCACCCCCTGTCCGGGAACAAGTCCGCAGCCGCCGCCCTGGCTGTCCCTCCAACCCCAGCACATGCTAGCTAGCTTCCTCTGACTAGCAGACAGCACCCTGAGGTGCTAGCGAGTGTCCGGGCACTTAAGGCTCTAGGCAGAGGCAGAGCAGGGCCCTGTGGGCCCAGGACCTGCAAACAGCATGTAAAGGAGCCACCTGTCATTTTAACTTTTTGAGGGTTTTGTTTGGTTGGTTGGTTTGGTTTTTGGTTTTCAAGACAGGGTTTCTCTGTGTGTAGCTTTGGCTGTCCTGGACCTCACTGTAGACAAGGTGCTGTAATACATGATTAGCCCACGCAGTGTATCTGGTCTAAGGAAGTTTGTTTGAGGAAGGGGAAAAGGAGAGGAGTTAGCACCTCTAGGAGGAGAGGCAAAGGCAGAGGATTGGGCATGTAGACAGACAGAGCCATGAGGGCAGAGAAGGACAGAAAGAAAATGTGGGAACAGAGAAGAAGAGAGACGGAGAGAAACCAAGACAGCTGGGGTGGAGGACTGGAGCCCATGCACAGAGTAATGTGGTGTCCTCCCTGGGGTGGTGGATGGACCCTGTCATCCCCACACACAGCCGGTGTGCCTGGCAGTGGCAACAGATGACATAGGACTTTTCTAGTTCCCTGAAGGCAGGCTGGTGGGATCACTTGTGAACTAGTACCAGGCTGGCCTTGAATTTACAGAGATCCACCTGCCTCTGCCTCCGAAGTGCTGGAATTAAAGGCGTGTGCCACCACCGCCAAGCTGAGTTGTTTGTTTGTTTGTTTGTTTTTGAGTAAACTCACTTTTTTTCATTATTTATTATTATTATTATTTACAGTTTATTCACTTTGTATCTCAGTTGTAACCCCCTCCCTCATCTCCTCCCAGTCCCACCCTTCCTCCCTCTCCCTCCCCTATTCCTCTTCCCTAGTCTATTGATAGGGGAAGTCCTTCTGTCCCCTCCGGGTCCTTTTATATCCCCTTTCGTGGCTTTGTGGGAGCTAGGCCGCTGGACTCTGGCTGGAGTGGCTGAGGGCTACTCTGTCCAAAGTTTGGCTGTGAGACTCTGCTTCTGCTTTGATCCTCTGCCGGTCGGAGTCTTTCAGAGGACATCTGTGGTAGGCTCCCGTCCTGTTCCCTCTCTTCTGCCGCTTCCAGTGTCTACCCTGTTTTCCCTGCTTGTTGGTTTTATGTGTGGGTGTTGTGCCTGCATGCATGTCTGTGCGCCATGTGCATGCAGTGCCTGCAGAGTTCAGAAGGGGCATCGGGGCCCCTGGAATTAGAGTTGTGAACAGTTGTGAGCCGCAGTGTGGGTACTGGAAATCAGATCTGGGCCCTCTGGAAGAGCAGCCAGTGTTCTGAACATCTGAGCCATCTCTTCAGCCCCTCATTTTAATTTTTATTAAATTTATTTATTCATTCATTCATTAATTCATGTGCGTGTGCGTGTATGTGTGTGTGTGAGTCGGAGCTAGAGTAACATATCGCAGGGTACTTTTGGAGGACAAAAGACAACTAGCAGGAGTCAGTTCTCTCCTTCCATATGGCCCCAGAGGCTGAGCCCTTGGCTTTACCTGCTGAGGTACCTCGCTGCTGGCCTGCCACCATCATGTCAGGGTTGGAAAACCATGCTGGAGAGAGAAGCAGGGGACCCTAGGTCACAGCAGGAAGGCGACATTCTAGGCACAGTCGTGGCCACATGAGAGCTAGGCTGCTGGACTCTGGAGTGGCTGAGGGCCCGTCCACTCCCAGTGTCTTGAAATTTTCCACAATATGACAGATAAGTCCTCATTTTTTTTTTTTCACCCTTTAGGGAGCTTCTGAGCAAGGCCTGGAGAAGATTCCAGAACCCATCAAGGAGGCCACGGCCCTGTTCTATGGTGAGGAAGGCCTGGTTGAATAATACACACCCAAGGGGTTAGGGGCCGGGCTTGGGGTATGTTGAGAACGCAGGTCCCAAAGTTCTCTCTCAAAGAAAGGGGCCCATCCCATCTATGTAGCCGTGTCCCCACGGCTTGCCAGGGAGCTCAGATATGGCAGGAGAGCTCCCAGCAGCAGAAGGAAAGGCACCGTCTACTGCATGCAGGCCGGAACCCGAGGCTCCCTGGCCAACCAGAGTGATGTGGGCTGCCCCTGACTACACAAATCCTTGAGTGCCCCGTGCCTCACTGCTTGCATCCACCACTGCTGCCATCTCCACTACTGCTCTTGGAGCCTGTTGCAGGGCCACCAAGGCCGGAGATGGGGCACCTTGCCACAACTCACGGGGCGGGTGCAAGGCTCCTCCTGTTCAAGTTCAAGATCCATGGGCAAGGGAATGTCGAGACCTGGCCCTCTGACAGTGCAGCTGGTGAGCAGAGCACATCCTAACACCCAAGCCACACTCTGCTACCTCCTAGGATCTTCAGTGTCAACCAGTGGGACTCTTCCAGAAGGTCAGGTGGACTCCCTACTTTCCATCATCTCCAGCCAGAGGGAACGTTTCCGCACCCGGAACCAAGAGCTGGAGGCTGTGAGTCCCACCCTACTTCCTGTTCACCTAGGCCTCAAATCTGAGGGCACCAACGTAGGAAGACACAGGCTTGGGGAAAGCAACAGATACTTAAATGGCATCAGGGTTAGATGTGCTCTGAGCAGCTGAGATTTCCTGGAGGAAGCTGGGCCCCTTTGGGCCTTGATATGTATTCAAGAACTTAAAGTAGGAACATAAGGGAGTTTTCCAGGGCTGGAGGAAGGAGATATAGGACCTAAGACACAAAGGTGGGCACCAGACTGTTTGGCTGGAATACCTACAAAGACTCTGAGCAGAAATGAGGCCTTGCAAGAGCGGAATGCACATGGACCGCTTAGGCAGAAAGCTTCTGGGTATAGCATCCATTGAGGAATATCTGCAGTGTACTGGGGACAGAGAAGCAGCCTGGATGGAGCACGTTAGAGCTGCATGCCAGGACTGGTGCCACAGGTCTATAATCCCATTTACTACAGAGGCTGAGGCAGGGGGATATCTTAAGTTTGCAGCCAGCTTGGGCAATTTAGAAAGATCCTGTTTCCAGAAAAGAAAAGGCTGAAGATGTAAGTCGGTGGTAGTGCTGGGGTGTGGCTCAGTGATAGAGCCCCTGCCTAAAATCCCCCAGTGAGGGGCTGGGGTTGTGGCTCAATGGTCATCTGCCTAGACTCCCCCAGTTAGGGGCTGGGGTGTGGCTCAGTGGCAGAGCCCCTGCCTAGACTCCCCCAGTGAGGGGCTGGGTGTGGCTCAGTGGTCACCTGCCTAGACTCCCCCAGTGAGGGGCTGGGCTGTGGCTCAAGGGTAGAACCCCTGCCTAGACTCCCCCAGTGAGGGGCTGGGTGTGGCTCAGTGGTAGAGCCCCTGCCTAGACTCCCCCAGTGAGGGGCTGGGCTGTGGCTCAAGGGTAGAACCCTTACCTGGCATACACAAGGCCCTAAGTTCCATCCTCAGGACTGGGAACAATAGAAAGAAGGTTGGGTGCAGAGGAGGGGGTTCTTGGTTTCAGACCTTTCAGTCTGTGATGGGTTGGAATTGTTGCCTTGGGTCTGTGGCCAGGCAGCATATCATGGTGAAGTATATGACAAAGGCAAGCAGCTTACTTCATGGCTTCCAGGAAGCAAAGAAATAGGAAGGATCTCCCGGGGCACAGCTCAAATGCACAGCTTATTGGCACAAGGCCCTACCTTCTTAAGGTTCTCCACCTCTGAACAGTGCCGCAGGCTGGAGACTAAGCCCTCCTGCACGTGATCTTTGCAGGGCATAAGATCCGAACCCTGAAGCTGGAGAGGTGGCTCAGGGTTAAGAGCACGTGTTGCTCCTGCAGAGGACCCAGGTCCAGTTCTCAGCACCAGCGTGGCAGCTCCCAAGTGTCTCTCATCCCTCTCCAGGGCCCTGACACCCTGCTCTGCCCTGTGTGCACCAGGCAAGCACATGGTGCGGTACCTACATGGAGACAAGTCGCTCGGGAATGAAATAAAAGCAAATAGATCTTTGTAAATTTTCATCTTAAAAGATAGCACAGTTGACTATGAAGAAAGTGGCCTTTCTGCAGAGGGCCTTTCTAGAGGATGCATCTGCAAGCAGGGTCAGCAGTTCAAGACCATGGGGGCTGTAGAATCCACTTCTGACCTCCACACAGACTCACACATGCACACACACACTTGTACATACTATACCACAAGCACAACCACAAGGTCACGGGCACAGAAAGGACCCTAGGCAGATAGAGACCTCATATCTCTCTTCCCTTGTCTGCCCTTGCCTGACCCCATCCCAGGAGAGCCGAATGGCCCAGCACACCATCCAGGCCCTGCAGAGTGAGCTGGACAGCCTGCGTGCAGACAACATCAAGCTTTTTGAGAAGATCAAGTTCTTGCAAAGTTACCCTGGCCGGGTAAGCCCCAGCCTCCGCCCCACCCCATCCCTGCAAAGCTCCTGTCAACCCCAGACTGTAGGTAGGGAGTGAAGCTATTTGAGCACCTGAGACAAGATTGGGGAGGGTTGGGTGGTGGTCAGCTCTAGGAAGACCCCAAAGGATATTCGCCCCTCCCCCTTCCCACCTGTCTGATGTCCACTCCGTGCATGGGACAGGCCAGTAGAGAGAAACCTATAGAGGTTCATTCAGAGCCAGCGAGGAGGTAACAATGCATAGTCAGAGGTCCTCAGCCAAGGCCTGTCCAGCTCCAGCACCCCTCTGCGATTCCGGGGTGGTCTGCTCCCTCTAGGTGGTCACCCTAGGCCTGTTGTGTGCTAAACATGTAAGACTGGCCCCAGGGGGACTGGGGTGTGTGAGGACTGTTTTGAGTCAGGGTCATATGTATCTGGTCTCGCATTCGCTGTGTAACGGAGGCTGGCCCTGAACCTCCAGTCCTCTGCCTCCCACGCTCTGGGATCACATGCATGCATCACCATGTCTAGTTTGAATTGGTGTGCTTTGAATTAAAAAAAAAAAAAAAAGCTTTAAGATTTATTTATTTGTATTTTATGGTTAGGGTGTCATGCTTCCAAGCATGTCTGTATACTACCTGTGTGCTTGGTGCCCAAGGAGGCCAGAGAGGGCATTTGATCCCCTGGAACTGGAGTCACAGACAAGTGTGAATCTTTGTGCAGGTGTTGGGAATTGAACTCAGGCTCTCTGGAAGAGTAGCTGGTTCTCTTAACCACTGAGCCATCTCTCCAGGTCCCTCACAAATTTTTTGTAACTGGCCAAGCATGGTAGTGGCTGGTGGCGGAGGAAGCTCACCAGTTTGAGTCCAGCACAAACTACCTAGTGAGACTCTGGCTGAAAAAAAAACAAAAACGGGTGGAGAGACCCTCTTCTGAGCTCTGTGGGCACACACACATATGCAGGCAAACCACATATACACGATAGAAACTAAATGTTAAAAAAACAATAAATAAAAAGTCCACCCATAATGTACACCCCGAAACAATGAACCTGTTTGCTGTGGTGGCACCTCTCAGAAGCCCAGATGTCCCAGGCAGGGGCCACCATGCACATGGAAACCCTTTCAGTGGCTCAGGGAAGACAGTGATGGATAATTTTTGAAAGGGTGGGGGTGGGGAGGGGGAAGGCTCCAGGGTAAGGTGGCTTGCAGTTCAATCCCTGACCTCCAAGTAAATGCCAGCTAGGTGTGGTGGCCGAAAGGCAAGCTTCAACCAGACACGCCCTGGTTCAAGTGAGAGACCTGGACCTTGCCTCAGTGAATAAGAGCAGGGATGGAGGAAGACCCCTGACCTCAGGGCCTCCATGATTGCACACGTGCGCACATCCACAGAGACAAGTGAAATAAACAGAGCGAGGAGGTTGGCCCAGCTGCACCATTTCCACCCAACTGAAGCCAGAACCCTCTGGGCCACTAGAGGGCACCCAGGCACTGCCAACCAGAGTCTGTATGGGCTGCTGGGAGCCATGCCCTCCTCTCCTGGGTGACCCCCCAACAACCCCGCCCTTTTAGCAAGCAGTCGGCCTAGCCCAGTGGTACTCACCTGTGGTCCTAGCTTCTTGGGAGGCTGAGGCAGAGGATCGCTGGAGGCCAAGAGCTCAAGGCTCTCACTGGGAAGTACTGCGCGCACTGGGAAGAGGTCTGACTTCTGCATTGTAGCCTTTCTAAAATTTAGCCCCCAGGGGTGCAGAGGACTCAGGCACCCACCCAGCCATGCCATAACATGCATGGCCACTGGCTCCCTCCCCCGCTCTCATCCCATCTCTCCTGGGGCCCAGATTCCCAAACCCCCGTGACTGACTGGATCTGTCCTCTTCCCCATGTAGGGTAGCGGCAGCGATGACACGGAGATGCGGTACTCTTCCCAGTACGAGGAGCGTCTGGATCCTTTCTCCTCCTTCAGCAAGAGGGTTTGTGGGGAGGGGCTCTGGGGCTGAGAGTGTGGCTCAGGGGTTAGGTGCTGCCTAGAATCCTCCAGTGAGAGTGTGGACGCCACTCGGCCACCATGTCCTCACCTACCTTGGATGAAGCTCTGGTTTCTAGCCACAAAATCTTGTCCTGTGCTCCCTGTACCCTGTCTACTCACACATCACCCTCCCCAGGTCCTGAGCCACCCGTGTGTATTCTAGCTGTAATGTCAGGTGTGTGTCAGTGAAGAGCAGGGCTCCCAGCCCTCCTGAGGCGGCCACTCCCAGTTAATACAGGTCCTCACGTTGTGGCGACCCCAATCAGAAAAGCCATTTTCATTGCTGCTTCGTAACTGTGGTTTGCTACTGTTATGAATCATAATGTAAACATCTGGTGTGCAGGGTGCTCTGAAGTATCCCCTGGGAAGGGCCGTTCAACCCTCAAAGGGGCCACCCAAGTCCCCTTCCTCCTAGACCAGAGAAGCCCTGCTGTGAAGAACCTCCCACAGATAGAAAGAGCTGCTAGACTGTACTGAGTGCGACACAGTAGACGCCCAGGCGGCCCCTGGCGTCCCTCTGATGTTGTGAGTGTCCCTTACCCAGGGAGCGTTCCCTCTCTGCTGGACCCTTCATGTCTGTTTCCTTCAGGAGCGGCAGAGGAAGTACTTAGGCCTGAGCCCCTGGGACAAGGCTACACTAGGCATGGTGAGTCCATATCCCATACCCACCTACCGTGCGCCTGTGTCTTTGGCCTTCAGCCCCTAAAGAAGGCCCTGGGCCACACAGACCCTCCTCTGGGCCCTGCAGACGGCGGGTGGTGGGTGTGTGCACGCCTCCAGGGCAGCTCTTAAGAGAGCTTCACTGCCTGTGCTTTGGGGGATTGGCCTGCAGGAGGCACCATTCCCCAAAAGCTGTACAAGGACTGGGCGGCAGTGCTTGCCGAGCAAACAGGGCTAAAGTCTGAGTCACGGTGCCCATTTTATATGGTGCCAGCGCAAGCCCCTGAGCCCAGTGCTAGGGTGGTGGTGGTGAGACTTGGAGAAGTGTGGGGCTTGCTGGCTGGTGAGCTTAGCCAAACCTGAGCTCCGAGTTCTCAGAGAGACCCTGTCTATTAAACAAACAAACAAAAAAATCAAACAAAAACCAATAAAACAAAAAAGGGGGGGGGGGGGTGTCCAGGCACAGTGCAGCACTTGGGAGGCAGAAGCAGGCAGACCTCTGTGTGATCAGGGCCATGAATTCATAGCAAGCTCCAGGCCAGCCAGACTACATAGTGAGACCCTATCTCCATAAAATGAATACAGATGGAACGAGATTTAAAAAGACACACACCCTTGCACTCGAGTGCACACACACACACACACACAGAAATTAACATGCCTCACCTGCCTGCAGACCTCTGCAGGGAGGAGCACAGAGCAACTCCAACCCACACCCCCTTGTTTGCCTGCAGGGGCGTCTGATTCTCTCCAACAAAATGGCCCGCACCATCGGCTTCTTCTACACCTTGTTCCTGCACTGCCTGGTCTTTCTGGTGAGCATAAGCATATTGGCCAGGGATGTCTCCCCGCTCTTCTGGGCGCCAGGGCTCTGTTACCATGTGGAGGACTTACAGAGCCTCCCTGAAACCACACCCCAGCCCTGGCTCACTCCTTTCCCCTCCCCAACTCCAAGGACTTCAACTCCTTTTAGAGACGAGAATGCCCCAATATCAGATTCCCTGGCCAGAGCACAGTCACCTGGAGAGGCTGCAAGGGACCCAGTCCTGGAAGGGTTTTGTGGGAAGACCAAGCGGGAAACTGGACGCAGATGAAGTCCTGTCATCCCAGCTACTCTGAAGCAGGAGGACCACAAGTTTTAGCCCTGCCTGGGCTACATATCATTTTCACAGACAGTCTGGACAGCTTAATGGGTCCTTCTCTAAAGAAGTAAAAAGACTGGAGATTGGAGATACAGTTCAGTGGTAGAGCCCCTGCATAGAGTCCCCCAGTGAGGGGCTGGAGTGTGGCTCAGAAGTACGGTGTTTGTCTAGCAAGTACAAGTCTCTGGGTTTCATTCCCAGAATTGGTGGGAGGTTAAAGCAGAAAAGAGGGGGCCTAATTAGACCCCCCAGGAAACAGTGTGCTGAACAGATAAGGCCCAGGTGCACCAGTCTGCTGAGGTGCAAAGGCCCTTGTAGTCAGTGGGTGGGAGACAGTCCGAGGACACAGGCTGAGTGATGCCTTCACATGGCTGGCCTGGGGTCCAAGTCAGGCACTCTTAGTGAGCACAACCCCATCTGCTTCCTTCTAAGCATCACATGAAGCAAGCAGGTTGGCTCAGGAGTGTCTCCATTCACCCTAGGACCTGGCCCTTGGGAACCATTATGTGCAGCTGGGACCAGCCCTAATAGCTGTAGGCGGCCGTGGGCATTGTCATGAGGCAGAGCAGGTAGCTCATGGTGTCTCTGCCCGACCAGGTGCTGTACAAGCTGGCATGGAGTGAAAGCGTGGAGAGAGACTGTGCTGCCACCTGCGCCAAGAAGTAAGGATGTGCCCTAGTCTTCCACAGACCTCGAGCTGAGCCTCCTAACACCCAGCTCGAGCTTCGTGGTGGCTGCTGCCCAGCCCTCTAACGTAGCTCCCATCCTAGCCAGCTGTGCTCACCCGTCTTCTGCGCCGTCTCAGCCTTGCTCCTGTCCCCGCAGGTTTGCCGATCATCTGCACAAATTCCACGAGAGTGACAACGCGGCAGCAGCTGGTGACTTATGGCAGTGACACCCAGGCTCACCCAAGATGTGCTGGCTGCATCCCCTACTCTGCTTGATCAGCTGCTTCTAATGACGTAGCCTACCCCCTCCCCCCCAAAAAAATGGTGGAAACTGTCTCTGTCTCTGAATTCAGCCAAGAGATGCCCAGACCCTCAAGAACACCTTTCGAAGGTCCAGCCTCACTGGACCCCAGGCTCAAACAATCCCTAGCACCCAGCTATGCTGGGGACTCTGAGGCTCCGCCCTCAGCCCAGTCACCTGACCCAGGCTCCACCCACACCAGAACCTCCAGCCCTGGTAGCAGAGCTTTCTGACTGATACAGACTGTCACCACCCACTCTGACATTCCTGTAGGCTCCCTTAGGACCCCACCTGCACCCCCAAAACATATGGGAGGCCCTTCTAGGCCAGCAGGCTTTTCATCTGCCCTATTCCTGGTGGGGGGGCGAGGACAGGGGGTGGGTTTGATAAAACTTCACCGCCATCCCCAAGACAGGAAGCTCCACAGAGGGCAGGATAGTTTCCACTACCCTTCCCTGCACCCAGTCCATGATTTGAGTTCTGCTTACTTCTTCAGCAAGGTATTCTGGTTTCTAGAAGAGGAAGTCTCTGCAACAAGGCCCCTGTGCTTCAGGCACCTCAGACCAGGGTCTGAGAGGCCTGGCAGAACTTGTCCTGGGCCACCAGAGCAAGGCCACCTCTCAGGGCCACAGGCAGATCTTCCTCAGCTGGGCTTGATCTTTTGTTTCTTCAGCTTTGCATGTTTGAAATAAAGAATGATGGCAGCCACAGTGGGGCCTTGTGTTCTGTGACTCCTCAGCTGGACACTGGCTGTCTGAGGCTTCAGTATGCTGCTGCAGACACACCCTGGAGCTCACTGGCCTGTAGGTAGGCTTTCCCGAGTGGCTCAGTAGGAGAGCCCCCCGCCTAGAATTCCCCAGTGAGGGGCTGGGGTGTGGCTCAGTGCTAGAGTGTTACCTAGCATGTACAAGGCCCAGAGTTCGATCACCACCCTAAAAGATAAATAACACCTGGCAGATGCACAGTCCCAACCATCAAGATCATTACTTCATGCCAGTCAGAGCTACAACAGGAGCAGTGTCTCCTAAAACCACACAGCATAGAGTTAGTCACACCAGCCATGGCTGAGGCCCAGACATGTCCCAATGGGCTCACGTCACTTCCATGTCAGCCCCTGGGGAGTCCCTGCTTCTGTTTCTGTGTGTCCCAGAGCCATGTATGAAGCACGAGTGCACCAGAGCCATCCTCCTGCAGGGCTCTGAGCGCCAGCTTTGCCCGGCGCATCTCAGAAAGCAAGACTCACTGGGAGCTTGGCTGCGGCAGGGGCAGCAGTGGCAAACGCCCTTAATCCCATCCCTCAAAAGGCAGAGGCAGGCGGATCTCTGTGAGTTCAAGGCCAGCCTGGTCTACAGAGTGAGTCCAGGACAGCCAGGGCCACACATAGAAACCCTGTCTCGAAAAACAGAACAATGATAAAATGGGGTTGGAGAAGTGGCTCAGGGGTTAAGAGCATTCACTGCTCTTCTGAAGGTCCTGAGTTCAATTCCCAGCACCTACATAGCAGCTCACAACTGTCCAGTGCTGTCTTCTGGTGTGCAGATGGACATCCAGACAACACACTCATATACATAAAGTACATAAAAAAAAAAAAGACTCACTGGTCTATATGTCCGGGTTATTCTGAGCTCTCTATGGCGTCTGCATCCAAGGGGGCCCCTCCTTCAGGGCCCACCATACATACCTTGTCACCTGTCCTATCTGATCTTCCTCCAAGGCCCCGAAGCCTTCTGCCTCAGGAGCCCGGATGCACCTGTCACCCCTACCCTCATTCCAGTCTCCATGACAGCTGCTCTTAGCCAATCCTCCTCCTGTCTCCTGTCAGTTCCTCTTGTGGGTCGACTCACTTCTCACTTCCCCCTCCTGGGGAATCAAGACCATTGTCTTGGCTGGGGTTTCCCATCCCAGAATCCTCAGCAGCCACTGACAGCCCACCATCCAATTAATCAGGTGAGTCCTTCATGCCACAACTTAATCAGGTGAGTCCTTCATGCCCCAGCATCCGCTCTCCCTGGACCGAGCGGACAGGGGGATCCATAGCCAGACCATCCAGGGACCATCCAGGGGGTGGGTCTTTCTCCCACCCCCATCTCATCCTTCCCGTGTTCATTCATAGGCCTCCTGGTTCCCAGCCACAGGCGTCCAATCAATGGCTGGATGACAGCCTAAGCTTTCATTAAGTATTTGCCGGCCAGGTCTAGAGACACAGCAGCTGCTGGTCCGTGTGCAACAGAGAAGTAACAAGTACTCGGGCAGGCCTCAGCAGAGGTCTGGCTGGCTTCATGGTCCCAAGCCAGTTTCAGCACACCCCACCTCTCCTGTCACCCCGCCCCCATCTCCATGCCACTCCATTGCTTCCTGGGAAGCAATCGGTGAAGCTCTGATTTCCTGCTAGTCAAAGGACTTTGCAAAGGTCAGAGGCCACCGGGAGTGGAGGACTCAGCAGATGGAGTCTCTCCGGGCAGATCACAGCCTGAGGTCAGCACAGAAGGAAGCTGACCGATTGAGGGGAGCAAGAAGAAGAGGGGAACAAACCCACGGGGCCATGTCCACTGCAGAAGTAAGCCGTGGCCACCGTGGGCTAGCCTCCGACACACCTGTGCGGTTTTCCTCTTTGGCTTTAGCTTTTTGAGACAGCATCTTCTGTACCCCAGGCTAGCCTCGAGCTCCCTTCTGCCTCAGCCTCCCCAGAGCTGGGGATTCAGGCGTAGTCCACCTCTTGGCTCCGCCACGCCTCTGTGTACAGGGTTAATCCTCTCCTCCGGTCTCCTATCCCTGGAGTGCCACCACAGGGGTGAGAGCACAAATACCTAGTTCTGATTGTGTAGCCGACCCAGAGTGAGGACACTTGATGGGGCCAGTGTCCCCGACACCACCGTACAGGTGGGCGCGAGGCGATTTTCCGCACCCGGAGGGCAGCAGGGAGGAGGGGGCGTGGCTCTCGGCCTCTGGAAGCTTGAGAAGCAGACAGACGCTTCCTCAGTTGCGACATCTGGACCTCCTCGAGGCTCCCATTGTCCTCGCGGCGGAGGGTCGGCCTAAGGCGCCCGCCCGCGTCCGCTCACTACCCAGAGACATTTCCAGGGTGTCCACGCCCGGGTGGCCTTCCACGTCAAGCACCCTCCAATCCCGCCCTGGGGGCCCGCCACGCCAGGCTCCCGGAGACGCTCCACGCGAGGGGAATTCCGAAGGACGTGCCGCGAGACCTGGGCACCCGGGTCAGGTCCTTCGGCTCAGCCGCAGCGGTCGGCCGGCGCCGCTAGGGGCCCCGAGAGCGCTCGGCGGAGGGGGCGGGGGGCTCGGGGGCGTGGCTAGACGCTCTCGCCGCGGGGGCGGGGGGGCGCGGCCAGGGCGGGCCCGGGGTGGGCGGGGCCGTCGGTGGGCGGGGCCGGAGGCGCGCGCTGCCCGGGGCGCGGAGGGAGCAGCCGCGGCGCGCGGCGCGCGAGTCTGGGCTCGGAGCGCGCGGAGACCGAGAAGAGAGACTCGAGGGGGCCGCGCCGGGACCGCCAAGAGAGCACGAGCCTCGCAGGCTGCAGCCCGGGGGAGCGGGAGCCGCCGCCGCCACCGAGGGCGGAGCATGCGCCGCCGGGTCCCGGGATCCCGGCCGCGGTCCGGGCAGCGCTCCCCCGGCGCCCCGGCCCGCGCGGCTCTGTAGGTACGGCCTGCTTATTCGCAGCTCCCTGTCCCCAGGTCCTCTACCCACCCGGGTGCCCAGCAGTCCCCGAGGGCGCGCGTGTCTGTGTGTGCGCCCACCGCCACCCCGGGAAGCGCAGCCGCACGCGGACGGGTCCGAGCGTGTCGTCTTTGTGTGCACCGGAGGGAGGGAGGAGGACGCGCGGCGTTGGGGACGAGCCCCGCTGGCGTCGGACCCCCGACCCGCGGGCAGGGCGGGGAGAAGCGGGCAGCTGGGGCGGGGAGGAGGCCCGCTCTGCAGCAGCTGGGCCCCCTTTCCCTCACCCGACCCAGGCTGGTTGGCGGGGCCAGCGCGGCTGGTCGTCTAGAGGGAGGGATCTGAGGCCGGCGGCGGGGGGGGGGGTCAACCCAGAATGAGGGTGATGGCTACACGCTGGGGTCTGGCGAGACTGCGGCCGGGCCGCAGTTACCCGTGGGGACACCCTCCTTCCAGCCCCTTTTCCCGCGGCCGCCGTTCGTGACCCGCCCACTCGGGAGCTCCATAGCAGCCCCGGGTTTGAGAGGAAGATCGCCGGGTGACAGGCCCGCGCCTTTAAGAAGGGGCGGGTTAGTGCCCTCCATTCAGCCCCTTCGGCCTAGACCATTGATGAACCTTCGCGCTGCGGGAGTAGGAACCGCGCCAGGGCTGCGGGCGAAGCCAGGCAGAGGCACAGACCCGCCAGGGCTTCCCTGCCCCTCCACCCTCGCGTCGTCCCCTCAGTGCGGTCTTCGGGGTCAGACGCCTGCAGTGACTGGAGGGTCACAGGGTATCCCCCAGAGAGGCTGTGCACCTGAATAAGCCAGAGTCCAGTTCACCCGAGGTGATGCCGGGGGTGGGGCTGTCAGACCAGTGCCGAACTTCATCTCTCCCCTTTGTGAATTTTTAAAATGTGCTTGTTTATTTGTGAGTGTGAGTGTGTGTCAGAGGACAACTTTCAAGAGTCAGTTCTTTCTTTATGGGTTCCAGGGACCAAACTCAGATCATCAGTCTTGGCAGCAAGTGTTGTTACCCACTGAGCCATCTGGTCAACCTGATCTTTAACCCCTGAGCTGAATTACCTTGCATGCCAAATAAAGTGGTGTTTCTGAGGGGGAACCTGCTGGAATTGTGTCTCTCAGGGAGCACCCCTCCTACTTGGGCTATAAGGGAGTGGGATCTGAAGCCCCTCACTGTCTCCTCTTCAATATATCTCTTTTGGCTTCCAAGATGTTTAAAAAAAAAAATCTTACAAAATCCCTTTAGACTAATGTGAGTCCTCATAGTGTTGGTTGTTGGTTGGTTGGTTGGTTGGTTGGTTGGTTGGTTGGTTGGTTGGTTGGTTGGTGGTTGTTGGTGGTTG